GTTCAGGATGTCTTCGAGCGCATCGCTGGTGAAGCTTCCCGCCTCGCTCACTACAACAAGAAGTCAACCATCACATCTCGTGAGATCCAGACCGCTGTTCGTCTTCTTCTTCCCGGTGAATTAGCCAAGCACGCCGTCAGTGAAGGCACCAAGGCCGTCACCAAGTACACCAGCAGCAAGTAAACAGTTTACTGTTTGCTACAAAACAACGGCTCTTTTAGGAGCCACCACATGAATCGAAAGATCATGACAAAATGCTTTTACTTTATTTCAATAAATTAATTAATTCACGAACGAAATACAAGAAAACGTTTTTTCCACTGTTTTTGGAAGCAAAAAATGAAAAAGCTATGGCGGCTACGAAGTATGAGAATTCAACAATCCGTCTCCCTCTTCGSCCTGGTYTTCCTGTGGTACGGCTGTAGTAGCTAAGTACGTATTACGGCTCTAGAGGAGGGGATAAAGTGTCTTCCTTTTTTCCTCTACTCCTAAAGCCGCTACACAGCCTAGCTRCRGCATAGCYCTGAGAYACCCTGTGATCAAGCCACGCCTGTCAACTCATTTGACCTCATAAACTTATTCAAAACACTTATTAAGGTATTTGAAGGGGATAGTCAAAGTATTGTACACTTTAAAATTCATTCTATTTATTTCAGACAATTGTGTTAAAACCAGCCATGAATGATTATCTCGGCTTTGCCAGACAAAAATTGGCAGCTTSATGGCCTCTTCTATGTTGATAAAATTACTTTTGAAGTAATAATGGCTGAAGTATCTATTCCATTGGAATTCTTGCAGTACATACTTTTTGCAGCAATTCATTATTCAGCCACCTTCCTCTTTTTGGGGGATGGACCCTGATAATATAAGAGTCATAATTTAGCCTTAAAATAACCGTCAGTGCTTAGGATTTTGATATGCATCCCTGGTATTGAAAGTAATTATTAAATTGTCACTAAGCCTGCTAGTCACAATAATTGAGGTTTTGCAGTGACTAGAGGCTTGTGGTAATAACCATTATAGAAACGGTCTGGCAACTCTAACCACTGAGATACAAGTAAGCCTTATATTGTTAATTCTATTCCTCCTTCCCATGCCTCATGAAAGTCTTTTGCAAGAATGAAGTCTTTTAGAATGATTGTACCTCAATGGAATTGAAATCTCATTACCTGGCATGGTGGACCCATATCTTTTTGTGGGTACATTATCTTGTTTGCTTTTGCAATCATCTCTTCATCCTAAAAGAAAAAAGGGAGGAAAATCAAAGACTATATTATAATTGTTTGTTGGTAGTTTTCTTTTCTTTCTTTCTTTCATTTTCTTCCTTAATCATATCATTATCATGAAACTTAATCATAAAAAGTAGTTTTTGATTTCTCTGATTCCATTTAGGTAAGTAAAATAATGTTATAATTTGCTAATTTGCACATCTTTACACTTTGTCGTCAGCCACAAACCTTTCACTGCCAGGTATCGTGATAACATTCTTGACTAGCAAAGACAGTCTTTTATCAGCAATTTATACTTTGTTCAATTTGTGCATTTATTTGAAAAACTAGAACAAGAGATAATGAAAATAAGTTGCATTACCTGCATCCATGGATGTTGCAGGGCTTCTTCTACTGTTGATCGTTTTGATGGATCTACTGTCAGCAACTTTTTGACTAAATCTTTAGCTGAAAATCAAACAAATCACAATAATACATTTTACATTCTGATGGCGATAAGAAATGAAAGTAACAAACAACTTTTTAGTTCATCTATAGAAGAGAAGATAAATATGTTATAAGCTACAAACTAATACCATCAAAAAAATAGGGCATGTTTTCTACCAAAGAAGATTTTGAGTAGCTCAAAAGACATTTTATTATTATTATTTACTAAGAAAAAATATATTATACAAGAAATTTTAAATACATTGTAACTGACATTTATAAAACTACTTTGACAGCATGAACATTTTATCACAAACAATTTAAAAGAAATTATTTTCAAGTTTCATATTCATTTGGGTCAATGTCTTAGCATATTGCTAATAAATTATTACCATCACTGCTGACTTTATCCCAATAAGGACTTAAAAACTTGTAAAGACCTTTCTTAATCCTCTGTTCCCTTGTAAGAGGTTTGAACTCTTCACTGAATGGTGGGTAGCCCCCAAGACTGAAAGCAAGAAAATATCCACTTAATTGAATAGTGAAATAATCAAATCACATTGCTTATTTTCTTGGCAAATGTGTCTATAAATCACCAACTTTTAATTGATTCCAGATATTAATTTTATTTTCTGAGTGTGTTGTATTATAAAGAAAAGAGTACTCGACACTGTACATAGAGCAGGTGTATATTAGAGAGAAAGAGAAATGATCAGACCATATTATTCTCTACAGAACTGTTTCATAAGTTGACATAAGTCGACTATGTTGACTCACTCTTCAGGAGATTTATTAAACAACTATATGTAAATCGCCCTCCGCATGCTATATATTCATTGTAGTCTCTTGAATGTTAATAAATCTCCTGAGGAGTGAGTCGACGAAACAGTTCTGTATGGTCTGATCATTTCTCTTTCTTTCTATAATATATAAATGTATCACTATGCACAAATGTGAAACTGACATTCAAGCCAATAAAAGGTACAAAATATACCATAATATGAAGTTTACAAGTCTATAATACATTAACCCCTTTGTCATGAATTACTTTCCATTCTTACCACACAAATAGCAGCACACCAAGGCTCCAACAATCCACAGCCTGTGAATAGCTACCTCTTCCAACAGACATCAGGACTTCTGGGGCAAGGTATTCTGGTGTTCCACATAATGTCTTCATGAGACTCTGTTCCCCAACAATCTTGGATAAACCAAAGTCTGCTATCTGTAAGTTATAGTGCAAATAATGTGTTAGTAAAAGGATTGTTTCATACTCAAAATATAGGCACAAAGCACACACAACTACCATAAAAATAAAGTATGTTAACAGCTTGAAAGATTTTATCAGAAAGTTATAGAATCATACCTTAATCAATGTATCGCTTTTGTCTGATACCAAAAGGACATTCTCTGCCTGAAATAGTATATCAAAATGAAAACAACCTATTATTAAAGATAACCATTAGTTCATTATCAATAGAAGACTAGTACATTTCAGAGAATTTTCAGTCGCATTGTTCTTCTACATAATAATCATTACTAACTGCTAGCCCAATATGTCACCTAAATATGATTATTCATCATTATTTAAACACATGAAAACATACCTTCAAATCTCTATGTGTGATGCCTTTATCATGTAAATACTGGAAAATAAATGATATATTAACATCCATATCAGAAATTAAAATACTCTGCACAAACTAGTAACTTAGCATAACATTCTAAGGAAATGTACATGTACTGTTTCAATATACTGTCAGTGTACCAACTTTCAAATCCATGACAGATATTGAAAATGGTAGTTTCAAGTCCAGGCTTGAGATATGTCCAGTCTTACATGATCTGTTATGCAAGTGTACTAGTAGTCTATAAAAAATGCCCCACAGTATGTCCTGCTTCCCAATCATACCAAAATACAATGTATTAAAATTATTGAAAAAAATGCTAGTGCTTACTTTGACAGATGTAAGCATTTGATAAAATAGTAGTTTAGCTGATGATTCTTCAAGTTGTCTTTCTTTCTTGACTCTGTCAAACAATTCACCCCCTTCGACCAGTTCAAGTACAATGTAGACTTTCTCTTCAGACTCAAAGACGTCCTTTATGCTGATCACTGTTGGATGGTCTAAAGACTTTAGGATTTCAACTTCATCTTTATTCGATTTATTGGTAACAGAAAACTGTTTCTTGTTGATTATCTTAACAGCAAATCTTTCACAGGTTCCTTTGGTGAAGCACAGATGCACCTCTCCGCATGCTCCTCTAGTGATAATAAGTAAAATTATTTCTCTTATAATGTTGTACTCAAACATTACAGAAGATTCAAATGGTTTTCAATAGAAGGTCAAATGTAAACTCTGTTTCTCAGTAACTGGCATCTTACTGAGAATATGACAAAGTCACATGCTCCTTTAAAATGTCTGTTGTTTATGTTCAACCTTAATCACTGCTATACTACAATCACAGACATAATGTGTTATTGTCTGTAGAGATGGAGTATGTTTTTTAAGAGAAAATAACTTATATCTTCACAATTAAAGCCATTGCTTCACCCACTCCCATACAATGTTGGTAGTCCTCAATGTAAAAAAAGCAGGTCATCAAGTTACCAACAAGAGACAACAGTGCATCAGGCAAGGTCAAAGAAACAGGAGAAGAGAGTACCTTTAATATGGAATTTTAAATCATTTGCGACAACTGTTTAGTCTCTAACTATATCCAAAACATACCTTCCAATAATTTTAGAAAGTGTGTACTTGGCTTTGAAATCCTTCAAAATACAGAAAAAAAATATAATTAAAATCTGAAATTATTAAAGAATAGATTTCTGTTAATAGAAAACATGGAATTTTGTAATAGAATTTTTGTAACTATAAAATCCTATATAATTTTTGAAGTACATGTTAATACAACTTACATCTGGTAGATTTTTCTGCTCTTCTGCAACTTTGCCAAATTCTTGAAAAATGTAAGCTGCAGACACAAAGAAAGTTGCCAATCAGGCATAAGGGTTAGGATTTTCAAATGTTTGGTTCAAAGTCTACAGCTTAACAAGCCTTGGTACCAAAACTTACAAGCAGAAAAAGTTGTTGAATGTGAACAAGAATGGACAAAACACAAACAGCATTAAGGTATCAGCCGGATAACTTCATGGCTGATGTAATGTTATCAAATACACCCTTTGCCAAAAAAAAGCACAGGATAATCACATGATTGTAAACTTTGTGATTGAGTGTCTTTAATGCACCTACATTGATTGTCAATAGATGCAATTGGTTGTCGTTTTGGTCCCCGATCAGCAAACAGCAGACAGCAGACCAATACAACATGTGCAATTAATAATAATGGCTAATGAATTCGAAATAAAATGGTGAAATACAGCAGAAAAAAAGTGAAATAAAGTTTTATATTCACCTTTGTTCTTTGCTACAGATAGACTTATCTCATCATTATTATTTAAGACATGTGTCTTACTTCTTCCTATTTTCACAAACAAAAAATACAATTACCTACATGGAATAACTGAATATTTTTTAATGAATAAAATGGTACATGTATTGACACTGCTACATACCAATTTTTTCTGAATTAATAAAAGTACCATTTGAGCTGAAAAAAGCAACAACAAATTTACAGTTTGCTCCCATGTCCACTTCTGGTAATTCTGCTAGTGGGAGAATGTTAATGCAGTGTTTAATATCTATGGAAGAAGAATGAGACTTTGGAGAGCTAGCTGGCTCAAGGAGTGTCCACAACTGAATATTTTACATTTATGCCCTAATAATTATTTACTATACTGTCAAGCAAGTGCATTATTTTACCTTAAATCAGTAATAAATGAGTTATAGCACCCACTGCTATCTTTCTCCTAAGAAGACAAAAAAAAACAACATGGCTCTGATAAAATTGTGCTATGCAGTCGTGTACTGTGGCTCTCCAATTCTCACTAATAGTGATTTTCATAAAGCCGCTGGAGTTAGCAGAGTCTCTTGGTTACGTGTCAGAAATACAACAAGAGATGCTCTGCTAGCAGGGAGGAGTATTTGAGTTTTTGGGACTTTACCTATTTTCAAGGGTTTTTCACATGCCCTTTGTATGAATATCATCAAATCCTTTGATCATTACTCACTCTATATAATTTATAATGATTAGTACTTAGGGCTTGGTAATGGGAGTTGGATCGAAAATCTCTAGCATCAAACTGATATTTATTGGATGTCCCACGGCCAAATGTATAATCATCCTCTATAAGCTCTGAAAATAACAACATAAACAAAACAATGCTGGCTTTATACCATCAGTAGAACATTCCAAGCAAACTTTACCTTTTTACAAAGAAACATTTAATGAAACTTCTAACATATTGGGATTTGTACAAATTGTCTTTGAGCCAATAGCATGATAAGCCAGAGAGGGGGCACTCCCCAACATAATAATAGGTGTTGGGGTTCCTTATCAGAAAATAGTGACCTACACCATGGGATGATGGGTGCGGCACAGATGGAAGTGATCTTTTACCATGTTTAGGGCTGCCCAAATGACTGGTCCCTTGACAGGATTATTAAAGGGTAATTTATTTCAATTTCAATTTAAGTTATTACTAACTTATTATTATAATGCCCATGATTGCATTGGCCTACAAATAGAAAAGACTAATCGAGGATGATAAAATACCAAGGAAAATACTAGTACTAGAAACGCAAAAAAAGAACAGAAGGAAAATCAAAGCAGCTACACACAACCAACTTTATTAATAAATTACATGCAGTTTGCAAAATATTAAAATGCTGAAGCTGAGGACTTTCACGTGTTTAGAACCGTTTTCAATCGTTCAAAACTTAACCGTTTCATCCATTTCTCAACTATTATTAAAAAACATACAAGAATTGACTGTTGGTTACGATCAAATCGACTGAATGCCATCTTACCCACAACTTTGAATCCTGGTCCAAGAGGAAAAAGCCTACCCCAAGCAGGATTGACATGCTGCTCTTCACCGTCTGACATGCCATCAACAACATCTTGCGTAGAAACGGTGTCCAAAGTCGAGGACTGCGTTGTTTGACTTTGCGAAGAGTGGCTACTTGGATCACCACTACTGCTGGAATTTGTTGGAGTGCTCATTTTTATTTTAGGCAGTACCTGTCATGCAACTTTCCTTTCGTCTTGTCTTCAGGATCGCTCAGATACTAGAAGCAACGCGCGCCAACCGAAAAGGATTATGGGAATATGGACTGGAGTTCTGGAGCATGGATCAATGATCAGTACAACCTTCAACGCAAAGATCTCCTTACTATTTGCTTCTCTACATGAAGTGAAGGTTGTTTTATTGAATGAAGGATTTTATAGCCTTATCATGACTGTATTGTTAGTTACTGAGTACATGAAGAACAATATGGAGAATTTTAGTGTCTTAAACAGGGTCAGGGATTTAGACCGCTGCTGGCACGTACCTATCCAAAACGGGATCGAGTAACCCCCTGGGGAATCAGTCATATCATTGCAAACAAGAGGCTGTTAACATGTTAACTTTAGGATACTCGTGGTAAGTGGTTAGAATGTTATCATGTATAGGGAACCAGGCTATGTACACACCCTATGTAACGCATTGGCATGTATCTAATAGTTAAATTCATTCATTGTATTGGAGTGTAAGTGACTCAATAAATGTTTCAACTAAAGACGTTGTAATATGTTAAACCCCCCACCCCCCAACAACGAACAACGCCAACAAAATTTAAAATCCCATTCAAATTTAAAGATTTATTCAAAAACTACTTTATTTATACTGGTTTCAGTTCAAGAGTAATTTTTACAATCTAAAATGTATACAATATTATTGCGAGAAAAACTGAATACTGGTACTGTTAAAAAACTAAAACTTGTTCTCCTGTATAATAATTATTAATTTATGACTGGAGTAATATATTCTTAGGTTACATGTTTTTTAATACATTAAATAACTATTATCATATTTTCCTATGTCATTAGCCAGTGGGTGCTTAGTCACAGCCAATGGCAACAGCTTTTTTGTCCCATTCAGGTGTCAATAAAACCTTCAATGAAGCATCAGCAACATCTGCGCGTGGAATAAACATCCCTGCTCCATCTACAAATTGCGCAGCTTCCACCAACTTGTAGTTTTTCTTAGCTGAAGCTATCAAAAAATAAATATAACACTTATCATTAATTTCAATTTTTATACTGTCATAACTGACCAGTAAATATTTCTAGAGAACTTTTTTTTAGAAATTTCAGTCCTCTGTGGGTATCAATCTAATTGTATTAAAAATGAGGCAAATGATAGCCTTGCCTGGGGTGGCTTTTATATACTAGTATTAGGTCCAGTGGGGTCGCTCATTATGAATCTTGGAAATAACCTCTAAAAGGTATATGAAAGGATTCTTAAATTGGTGTGGCAGAACAAGACTTGCTAATCGATGTTAAATCTTGCTTAGCACTCAGACAATTTCCAGTCAATCAAATTTAAATTAGATTTCTATTCCAATCAAAACATCATATCTTCCAGATCAGCAAGGTTTATTTTACATACCATTGGAAAGTCCCGGAGGTCTTATTATTGTATAATTGAATGAAGACTCTTCTAAGATTTTTTCCATTCTTCTCATATCTTTCATAAATCCACCAAGTAACATGATGGGTCTGACCAGCTTCACCTTGATGGGTGTATTATTGGGATACTCAGTAATCCATGATGTCAATGTTACAATCCTGTTTACATTTGACCTATATATTGGATAACATACATGTTAGACATTAACCACATGGCTGCCAACACTCCCATAATCTTGGAGTCTCCAATTTTCGATGTTCGAAAATTGACCCTAAAAGGTACGGAGTCAGCTCAAGTACACAACGGTTTTTATGTTCGACCCTAAAAGGTCCGTCGAGCATCCTACCAACTTTTATAAGGGAGTCCCCCCCTCCTCCCCAGGTCTCCAGCTTTTGGTCCTGATGTATGACCTTACACTTCTATCCATAAGTTACAAAACAATGCCAAACTACACTTTAAATCAAGGTTTACCTTTCCATTGCAGTCATAATTGATTTCATGGATTCACTGTAAAGAGTTGTAGGATTAAATACGGTGGTTCCATGAGCACCCAGATATGAGAGCACAGCATCCTTGCCTTGCAGGTGAGGAACGAGGGATTCAGGCTCAAATATATTAGCTTTTACGACATCAAGATTTTCATTTCTACAAAATATGCAAAATAGATAATTTCACGTAATCGAATTAATCGAAATAGGTCTCATATGGAATTATCTTATAATTGAAAACGTTTGAAAGCATTGCTCATTCATCTAGATGTTCTTTTGATCAGTCTTGCACATGAACTGAGTTTATAATATAGCAAGCTTACTTGATATTATTTAGTTTATCTGGACTTCTTACGATGGCAGTTACATGGTGACCCAATTCTAAAGATTTCTTAACAGCTTCCATACCAGTAGGACCTGTAGCTCCGAGCACAGCTAACTTTAATATCGACTTTGAAGATGGTGCGACCTCTGCTGCCGCCATTTTGCTTAACCACAGGGGGCCCAAACACAAGGTGCACTCTAAATAATTTATAGTCCGAAAAAAACAACTTTAAACTAGGCCGACCATAAAAAGATAAAACCTCAAGAAAATTCACACCAGGGACATAAAATACACGAAAACAAATATTTAAAAAAGGGGGAAATCAAAACATTTTTCAAAAGAACATTTTAAATGTTCAAATTGTTCCAATTTGGTGCCTTTTTCTTTTAAGAGTTAAACTCTTGAACAAAAGACCAATTTGCAGTTTTCTTATAACACTAAAATCACAGGAGGAGAAAAACGATTCTTTCCAAGCTGTTTGTTATTGTCATGACTGTGAATAGTGGCATAATGTGATACACGTAACCCAAGCATTTGTATTTGATAAAATGCCAATAAAATCGCCTGGGCATTTGTTTTTCATGCAATTCTATTGGACCATTTTGATTACTGAGTAACATAATATTTCATTTGAGAGCCTAACACCACATTTTTTTAAAGGAAAATATATTCTTTAATATAGTATCATTAAAATATTGCTAGTTATTTTTAGGTTGGTGACCATCATATCACAAACTGTGGCAAATCCATCTAATGGTTGCAGGGGGCGTGCACTACTTCCTCAAGATTTGTACACTCCCTTTATGACACAGATTTTTTAAGAATTCCATTTTTGGCCAATCATTGATTACAGCCAATGGCAACAGCTTTCCTGTCCCATTCATGTGTCAATAAAACTTTCAATGAAGCGTCAGCAGTATCAGCACGTGAAATAGCCCTTGAAACTCCAGCAACAAACTGTCCTTCAACTATCTTGTAGTTTTTCTTAGCCTCATCTAAACAAAGAAAAGGTACATTATTGTATAAATCTATATACTTTTAAATAAAAGATAATTAATTTAAACAAGAAATATTAACTGCAAACACTTTAGAAGTGCAAGAGACCATCTCTAGGTTGCCTGATAGCTGAGTCGTAGGTCAGCTGAGCTGATCAGGTGCAGATCCAGCTAGTGGGTGCAGGGGGTGCGTCCCCCACCCCTGAGATCTGTATCCTTAAATACTTTCCTTATTTTGTGTCTTCAATAGTAATAATTTTAGTGAGGTGCACCCCCTTCTGAGAGCCGTGCACACCTTCTTGAGGAAAATCCTGGATCTGCCCCTGCTGATTAACCTGCATAAGAGGCTTGTTTTAAGATGACTCTTTTTTAAACTACGCCAATAATACACGCAATTTACGTTACGATACTTTCCAACACCACGGTATTCGTAGTGCCGTAGTAACCCGGCCCAGTGTGTATAAGGAACTCAGTAGCCCACTATAATTTTGAAAACGGAAATCTCCAAAAGTAACCTAAGAATATGAGGTATGCTACGCAAACTACGCATAGTTAGAGCGTATTTTACAAAACGTTTATCTTACAATAAGCCGGGTATATTAGCCTGAAGTGTTAACAATTTCAAATATTTCAAAAAGAATATTATTCTGTTACCGTTAGTAAGTCTTGGTGGCCTAATCACTGTGAAATTGAATAAAGATTCTTCCAGCATTTTTTCCATTCTTCTCATATCTGGTAGATAGGCATTAAGAAAAAGTGGTTTTATCAGCCATTCCATGATCTTTGGGTTACCAGGCTCTGTCTCAGTACACCATGAAGTTATTGCTACTATCCTAGTAACATTTGACCTAAGCAAGTAGATCAAAATGAAGAAATCAATGGCTACTTCAAGAAAGTGATTTAATGCAAATGATATATCAATACCTTTCCATTGCAGTCATTATTGATTTCATGGATTCAGTGTAAAGTGTAGTAGGGTTAAATATGGAGACAAAATAAGAACCCAGATATGAGAGCACAGCATCCTTGCCTTGCAGGTGTGGGACGAGTGATTCAGGCTCAAATATGTCAGCTTTTACGACTTCAAGATTTTCATTTCTACAAAATATGCAAAAGTTATACACCTGCTTTCAAAGACGTCGATCTACATAAAAAATATAAAATAGATGAATTCTTTTAAGTCAAAAAAGTGAAATTTAATTAAAAAGCAAATAAATAGATTTATGCTCATGTTGAACAACAGGTGAGGATTCTTGGTTTTTGGTTATTTGACAGATTTAACAACATAACAACAGCGACATTACAAAAAAAGAAAAGGTTTTCTGAATGTTTACGTGATTATATGAAGCTCACACTAGAAATATAAATGATATTCAAAAAATGGATTTGGACCTAAATGTCAAAAATACCTCTTCATTTTAATATACCCTACATGAGTCCGGCCTTTTAAAAATACTCACTATCAAAGTTTTCATTGCACACTTTAATTGTGATTTGCATCCAATATCTCTAAATTCTTCCAAAATGACCCAGTTGTAAAGAAAGTCTTGTTCCCAGGGGGAAAAAATCACAAAAATTGGTCTGGGATAGGGTAAGGGTTTTGAGGGTCGTGCACCACACCCCCAACCAAGTTGGGGCCAGGGGGTACTCCACCAAGCAGGGAATGGTTTTCAGCAATTTTACTCTGGAATAGGTTATGGATTTTCAGTGATTTCACTTTGGACAGAGTATTTATTTTCGAAATTATCGATACTGGGTACTTTTAAAATACATCCGAGGAATATATCGTTCAAACATTGGATTTATACAGGGTATGGTTTTCAGTAATTTTACTCTGGAATAGGTTATGGATTTTCAGTGATTTCACTTTGGACAGAGTATTCATTTTCGAAATTATCGATACTGGGTACTTTTAAAATACATCCGAGGAATACATCGTTCAAACATTGGATTACAGGGTATGGTTTTCAGTAATTTCACTTTGGAACAGGGCATGGTTTTCAGAGATTATCACGCAAACAATCAAAAGAAAATTGCCTTTCAATTAAAGTAATATAGAAGTATGAACAAAGGTAATCGCGCGTAGTACAAAACAAAAGTTTCCCGGGAAAAGCCTTAATTCGATCCTTCAGTATGTGTTCTACCTCCAAACTTTAAAAGTATTTTAAAACATGTGTTTTACTTGATATCACTCAGTTTTTCTGGGCTTCTCACAATGGCAGTTACATGGTGTCCATATTCTAAAGCTTGTTTCACAGCTTCCACACCAGTAGGCCCTGTAGCTCCAAGCACAGCTAAATTGAGCTGTAGCGATGTCGCATCGGGATCAGCCGCCATATTGTCATTGCAAATGGGATTCCTGTGTTTCGTGTCAGAAATACTGCTGATTATGTGTTTGACGGCTCACTTCTTTAAAAAGCGTGATTCATGGCCGTGAATCTATGACAAGTCAGTAAAGGGAAACCCGGTTTTATCGTGAAAAGTAAAGATAAACCAAGCCAATAATCATGGTAAGTGTATGAGGAATATGTCTGATCATAACTATGTCGAATTTTTTTCATTTCAAGGTGATTTTTTAGAAACAAATCCATGGTTTGAAATCATCAAAATGGCAGAATTTTTATCTTGACTGAAGAGCACGTGAAATTTGTAGATCGCTAATGTTGTAAGGCTATAAAATCATAGCTTTATATAATGATAATAACAAAACAATCATTTATTGGTACCTCGGAAATATGCATTCAAGATGTGACGAGTTCCCTTTCCCATTTGGACCAAATTCCACTTTAATAAAAATCATATAATCCGTAATCAAGTTTTCATTCCAATTCCCAGTTTCTATTGTTCATGTATTTAAAACCTAGTCGATCCCAGTCCCATTGCATCCAATCCCAATCACTGTGCATTAAATCACAGTCCCAGTGCATCAAATCACATTTTTTCAGTCAAAAATGAGACTAGATTAACCCCATCCCTTTTGTACTCCGTCATGCAGGACCCTCTCATGATTTCATCTATTTAGATATTAGACTGTGTTTTCTTTTATTAACTAAACATGCAGTCTAGTAGGAAAATTTAGACCATATTTGAAATAAGCCCAAGCTCATCAAGAAAGAATCTATCTCAGAAAAAATTTAAATCAACCAGACAGATATCCCTCCACTGACTCATGTCTATGCAGTCATATAACAATCTTAAGGCCGGAGTCTAATGTCAAAAGTATGATTTTTTTGGACTAATGAAGTGAGTACGCATTGGCAACTTGAAAACAATGTATGCATTGGCACCTCATTTTCAAGCAATCAAAAATCGAAAAATAGCGCAATTCCCACAGTCTTTCATGCATTGAGTTCAGTGCTAGCTGGATGGCAAACGTGTGGGCTCTGGGTATGAGATTGGTCATATAATAGTATGATTTAAGGTGTGAAGCCTTTGATATTGATTATTAACTGGTAGAGAACTGTACTGAGAAAAGTTGTCTTTTGGTAAATAAATAATATTTATGTGTACCACTCACAGAATAATCTGAAAAAGATATCACAATTGTGTACTTACAGAAACCCATTGTCCTTCATGGCCATGAGAGAGCCATTACCTTGATAAAGTACAATCGTATGGGAGATCTTCTTTTTAGTTCAGCTAAAGACACTAAACCGACAGTGTGGTACTCCTTGAATGGTGAACGTTTAGGGACCTATAATGGCCATGGCGGTGCTATTTGGTGCTTTGATATTAACTGTATCCTCAATAAAATGTTTATTGATTATGAACAAATGGAGGTGAGGGTGGGGAGGGGTACTTAGTTGGAGGGACACAATGGCAGGAAATCATTATATTGCGTTTGATGATAAGTTTGCCATCTTTAACTCAACACTTCAGGGGATTCTACCAAGTTTGTGTCAGGATCCGCTGACAACAGCATGCGTCTATGGGACTGTGAAATGGGGACAACTATTTCAAGATTGGACACATCAACAGCAGTCAGAACATGTGGCTTTTCTTACTGTGGAAATTTAATCATGTTTTCAACAGACAGACAGATGGGACATAATTGTCATATAATGATGGTTGATATTAGACAAGGTAAGTACCAGAAATCAAAACAACAACAGCTTTAAGTTAATTCTGTAAAAACATTAAGGATGTGGAAAAAAACAAGTGAGAAGTACCTACTGTTTCTTAAAACAAAAGAGAGTGTTTGATCAGGGCTACTAATGCTGAGAAACAAATAAAAGCATAAAGCCACAACTCAGTGTTTTTTGAATTGTTTTGATGTGTTTGAAGACCTGTATCCAACACAAAGCACAAGTTTAAGAAAGGAGTTTTCTAACTTATTAGGAATAACATTGTAAAAATTGGAAACACTTAGTTGATTTGTTATGTAAATAAGTTCTCATCCCATGTTTTGAGACTACAGTTTTAGATTGGATATCCAAACCTAAGCATGTGACTGAATTATGACCTTCCGATGAGCTAATGAATTATCATTGAGTTTGTGAAGCATCTAGAAAGTACATTTATACCACAGCAATGCACGCTCATTGTGTACAAAATACCATCTCTAATTGATTTATAAGGAAGGGGAATAACAGCCTTTAACATTTCTTTCATAAGTCTGACATTGTCAAAATATTTACTCATGCCATACCAGCCATAAATCTTAATGATCATTAAATGGTTTTAAATACCGAATTGTAATTGCCTCAAAACTATAGCTGGTAAAATTTGTCCTTTCAAAATCTGATCAAATTGAAAAATTAGATAGACATTGTCCTTAGACATGCTGTTATTTATTCCCAACCTTGTTGCGCAAAGATGTTTTAGTTATTCTTACAGGACAAACTCTTCATTTGACAACACTGGATGGGTTTTTGGGAATTAAAAGAGAGCACCAACTGACATCTAAAAATTATGACCTGTAGCAGTAGCAGCCTTAGAATCAAAATTTAGAATACTAATCTCAAAGTCTTCTTAAAAAGATTTGAAAGTTACTCAATTATTACTAGCATATAACACTTAATCAACATTTTGTTTCAGATTTTAAAACTCCAGTTTTAACAGTTGAGGTTCCTGGACCTAAAGTAACATCAGCTGTGTGGGGTCCTCTAGATGAAATGTTTATAACTGGACATGAAAATGGAGAACTTATTCAGTGGGATCCAAAGGTATCAGTAAAGTAACTTTATCACACATTCATGTAAAAGTAGCAGGGTAGATCCAAATCAGTTATTAGGGTAGCTATCCACCCTCTCTTTAGGGCTGCAAAATATCATAATACTCATTTTGATAAACAGCTAAAAGTAAGTGTTCATCTGAAAGACATTCCCATATTTTATTGATTTAATGTTTTTTCTTAGTTAGCAACTCCCTTTTGTAACACAATGTATCTCACTGCATACAGTAGTATTCATTGTTTAGATTTTTTCTTGTGTGTGGCATTTGATTGAAATCCATTTATTTAATAGTAGTGATTATTAGATTAGTATCAGTTATTGTTGTATTGTTTTATTTAGTCTGGAAGTAAATTAATTAATGTACATGAGCACACCAAGGCTATCAATGACATTCAAATGTATAAAGATTACACGATGTTTGTGACTGCATCAAAAGACAACACAGCAAAGGTGGGTTGATAAATGTACATGTCTGTAATTTACAATCAGTTCTCTGTGACCTTTCTTGAAATATCTGTATTCTCTTTTATTCAATGTAATATCGATTACAGACACCATTTGGTTATTTCATAAATTGCTCTTTTTATTCCTGCAGCTATTTGATACTGATTCTTTTCGACATTTAAAAACCTACAAGACTGAGAGACCAGTAAACTCTGCATCTTTGTCACCCATCAAAGACCATGTAAGTTGTCAATCAACAGATTATAATCAGCAATATTAACAACACAATCATCATTACTGATTGACATACATTTACCACTATCTTATCATTATTATATAATTTCATTGATATCCTGTCATTCAGGTTGTGTTGGGTGGTGGACAAGAGGCAATGGATGTAACAACAACATCAACAAGAATTGGAAAATTTGATGCCAGGTTTTACCATACTATCTTTGAAGAAGAAATAGGTCGAGTAAAGGGTCATTTTGGTCCTATTAACAGTGTTGCTTTCCATCCTGATGGAAAAAGGTACAACAAGTTTGTGTAGTGATTGTATATATTCATATTATTATTGTCTCCACTAAATATGGTGCTTATTACTAGTTCACCCAGTCCTTTGAAATTTATGCGCAATGAATGTGTTAATATTATGTTTCTGTAAATTTTAAATTTTGTTTACATAACTGAAATTATTAACCCTAAAACTGCCCATAAAGCAGCACTTTTGACAGCAATGGGATTGAAAACATGAAAAAAAACTGATTGGATTATGGGATCTGGTCCAAATAAAGAATGGGAATTTGGGATTCATTTTCCCCTTCAGAATCCTCTTGGGAGCTTACTCCCAGTCATGCAAAATTTGTTAGTTTTTAACTCATTTCACATCATAAATGCTTGTATGGTTATTTAGCTATGTAAGTAGAATAATCTAGGACAAAACACCAAATTATCGCTATGTATATATTTTTGTTTCAACAAACTTTTATGGCTGTATAAGTTATTATATCCTATTCCCAAATACAGTCAATTCCATTAACATTGTTCAGTTGTAAAGACAAAATACAACAATGGGATTGGCAGTATTATGCATCAGTTTTTGAGTAAAGCGTTATTTAGTAGCAGCAGTGCCATTTATAATGATTGAAACTAGTGGTAGTTAATCTATTATTGTGTTTTTGTTTCCAGTTACAGTAGTGGTGGAGAAGATGGCTATGTACGAATCCACTCCTTTGACATGTCATATTACGACATTGAATTTGAACATTAGCAATAAACATCAATGTACATGATTGACCTGTGTTACTTTATATTAGATCTCTAGGTTAATATACACTTTACGGCATTCAATGCCGTCCTGCTTCAGGTCCACTTTTAGTACAAATTAGTACTACTTAGATTTTGTACAGTTGCATGGATTAAGTGCGATCACTCTAGGCTGAACAAGATTTGTTTTAATTGTATAGATCTAACTTGAAATCAAGCTCAAATTGGTTGCGAAAGAAGTGCTTTTGTTGAAGGGTGCGGCCAGATTTGCGTCGTACAGGGTTCTTGCTACTCCTTGAAATCCTGGAAAATTCCTGAAAAAACTCCTTGAATCCGATAAAATTGACATGTTTCTTGTTAGCTTTTGGATTGAAATGTGGCTGTTTTTGAAAATGGTCACTTCAAACGTCCTCCAATATCAAAAAGTAAAAGTAGTCCTTGAAAATCGCATTTTAGGTGTTAAAAAGTAGTTGAAAAGTCCTGGAATTTTGTAGTGAAAATGTATCGAAAATGTAGGACAAAGACTAAATGAAGAAGTAATTTATACTGATCAAACTGTCACTGATCCCTGCCCTGCGATATGTATCAAATGTATAAAAGTCTTTGTTTTATGCTTTATGTTTTATGTTTTAAATTTTATGCGCTTAAACTGGCAATCTATAAAAATGGTATCGCATTCAATTCTTGCTCTCGCAAAATGATGGCTCACTAATCCAGATAATATACTATCAATTAAAGCGGAATTTCTCGTATACTATAGGTTTACAGCAGAAGGTATTTTATAAACCAAAGCTGGCACTCCAAATCAATGACAAGAGCGTGCCAAAGTCATGTCAGAATCATGATAACTTTTCCCGCCAACATAAAGGGCAGGAACAACGCACTTTTGGACGGATCGTTTCTTTATGCCTTGTATAAATGGTCCACTTTTTGAAATGTTGTTTTTATGTGTGTGTTTGGTTTTCGGACAGGGGGCCGGGTGTGCGCACATCCGGCTGGATGAAACTAAGGCTACCTGATTTTCAAATGTGTTTTTTGATAATTTCACAATGGTCTAAAAACTTACATTCGTCTCATACAGCGCGACCAAGAGAAACGACCTGATGTTTTTTTGTGCTCGTTGTGCCTTTTTGTCTTTGCTGCGAAATTGGAGGGAAGTTTTGATGAGAAAAAGTTACAAAAGTTACATCTGAAACCGCTTTAGCCGGAGGTGTTTCAAAAAAGCTTTTCAGTAATTGAGCCAACGCAAGCTGCTTGTAAGTCCTTCATTAATTTGAATAAACATTCTTTAGAGGCATGTACTGTACAAAGAATAATTTCAGATTGCCGAAAGTTTAGAGAAATTTGGGAAAAATGAACGGACGTGCTTCCAAGCGGCGTTAAAGATCGAACCTTCAAATAACTATCAGAGATTCGCCATCTTTAAACATTTTTAAATCAAAGTTACGCTCTAGCTCTTATAGAGTTCTGAAAATCTTCCTTTTTTAAATGAAATTTCCGTATGTTCAGGTAATCGACGAGTACCCTGTTGGTTTTCTCTTCTTAGTAGACGTTTTTTTCGTATTCGTTGTATTTTGTCTTACAAAAAAAATCATCTAGAATAGAAGAGGAAAACTTCTGGCTCTGGAAACAGGGTAATCGACTGCATTTCAAAAAATATTGGCTGTGATAAAAATGACTGCTCGAGCCCCCCACAAGCGTAAAAGGTCCGGTAATTGTTCTACTTTAAATTTCCTTTGTTATGAACTGTTTTTGAGATTTTGTTATGAACTTCTCCCATAAGGCAACCTTCGAGCCTGTTATGTATTTTTTTATGCTTATATTAGTTATTATGTACGAAAAATGGGGAATAAAAGTATGGATCGTGACGTAAATACCACAGGGGTAGTGACCGGAAACGGAAACATTTACTTTTCGCGCCAAAAGTCTTGCGCATGATCATTACAGTGTTGTAAACGCAGCCTGTTGCAGGCATCTTGACAGCGTGTTGAAAATTGGTGGTCTTGATTTTGTAGTGATTTTCCTTCGGTATCCTTCGGTATTAGACCAAGGTATGTCTTTATTTCATTTGTAAAATCTACAGCTATGCTAAAACAAGTAATTTACAAGTGGGTCGTTTAATGAAACGCAACAGTGGCTTTGTGATCTTCGATGGAAAGCTTTGATCACGCGTGTTGCATACCAGCTTATTTGGCGAAGGATTTCTCTTAAAATGCCGATGATTATTCCTGTTTATCAGAAATTGTTTTAGATTTACCTAATGTTCTTCTAATCATCGTATTTCTGTTCAAATCAACCTTAAGAATATGTTTTGTTGGCGCGAGAGTTTCTGACTTACTTATGACTTTACATTATGCAAATGTGAGGAGGCTAATTTGCGTCAAATAAAATGTTAATCTTCAACCTATGAGTTGAAGATTAAGTTAGCAGGAGATCTCTCAGTTTCATCCCTGTGTTGACGTGCTCCGCATGAATATTTGCTTTTGACAGCCTGGCATTACGTGCCTGCCTCATAATCATTGGCGGATTTAGGGGGCTTTCATTTATTAGCTCATGTGGAGCTCTGGCAAAATTTTATACATCTGTCTGCAAACATTATTTTTACCATAACTTGTAAAATACTCTGATTGGTCGAGGGCCGTTGTCAATCCTAGGACAGACGGATGAAATGACGAATCGCTCGCACACTGAGCGGGCGCGTGCTAGAAACGGTTTTGTTTTGAAAGCATGTTTAAATAAATCAAATCACAACCATGATATTGCAGTATTAATACCATGTGCATTTGTATAATGAAGTATTTTGGCATTTTTGAGCTCTTCCTGCATCCAAAGCTTGGTGAACTTTCTTTTGCCACAGACATAGCAGTATTAGCCATTTTGGAGTTGCGCAGGGGACTGGGCACTAATCAAAGAAATATTAATCTAATCACAAAACAAACCCCACCCCATGAAAGGACACCCAAAAACTAGTAAATATACCAAGTTTCAAAACATTTGGATAAAAACTAGCTGAACAGTATTTATTCCTAGTTTCATCAAATTAACAGAGAATGTATTTTGGGGGAAGCGGTCAAAATCCCCATACATTCTCTGTAAATTGCACGGCTTCTCATTAATTGAATATTTGACCAAATGATTTGTAACTTGGAACCTACACTAAAGTTGATAAAGTCTTTTTAGTGATATGGTTAGTTTTTCGATTAGCTCAATATGACAGAAATTGCAATTCATTTCATAACTCCAAAATGGCTAATATCATAGTGTTAGCCTGTGTAAATCTGTTTCTCACCCCTCCAAAAAAACGGGGAGAGAACGTCTGTGATTTGCCGTTTATGATAGTGTTCTGACATAAATTTGCATATATAATGTGACATGCGCGTTAGAGCTTTAGCAGGTGCTTTAGAAGGTCAAGTAAACAATGGACGTTCTGCAACATAATTCGAACATAATGCCAAGAGATTGGAGTCCATGGCACAAAGTTTTTGTTTTTGTTTTGGCCATTCAATTCTAACCTCGACCATTGTTTACAGTATTGTCTCAGCCTATTGGTCTCTGCTGTGCTCTCTCTATCTTTAATAGTAGTTGCAGAAGTAGTAGTTGTTGGGATCGTGTCCAAAGTAATCGATGAATTTTCAGTACGTTTTTACAGGCATCAACGTGAGTTCCGTGTGTAAACAATGGTCGTGATCATCGTTCATTTCGTCTTCATCTTCGGCAGTTTTGAAGCTGTAACTTCAGAGTTACTTGACTTCTGACAAATGCGAGTTTTCTTCGTGAAGATTGGCGGCGAATTCTAATGACATTATAATTCCACATCAATTTTAAATTTACCCTGACCGAATATAAAATTAAATTCTAAACTTTTACAGAGAATTTGAGAGCAAATAACACTTTCAATTTGAGGCGTTCCACATGTTCCAGTGGTTTACATGAAGGCTTATATTTCACTTATGTGACCAACTTTTCATGCCATCTATTGATTTTGGCCAATCACAAGTCTCAAAAGTCAACGGCCAATGAAATTTGTCCTCAAAATCTTGAGGACCTCAGAACACGATTATAAATGGCAAATCACAGATGTTCTCTCTCTTGAGAATACAGGGTTAGCCTCAACTCGAAGAAAGTGCAAATTGTTAGGGCTATTGTGTTAACAATATTTTCTCATGGTTTCTTTTGTTTCTGGTAAGAGTGGACCCTGTTTTGAAAAATCCTAGATCCGCCACTGAACTACTTTGTTATCTTTTTAGTTGAGTTCCTCCTTACATATAATATATCCTCTATGCCTCATATTGAATTCTTAGAAGTATTTGTAAACTATTAGATATTAAAAGAAAATATTCAGAGGATATTAGGTATCTGAACATAGAAATATATTTCTTATTCCAGATGTTTGGAACTTGTGCATTTAGTAAAAGGCAAAGGCTTTGTGATGGTAGTTCTGATGAGTCATATGATGATCCAATTGATGATTCAGGTGACAATTCAAGTGATGATTCATCAGTGATAGAAGTAAGTTCCAAGTCAGAAAGTACTGGTGACATGGTTTGTGGTGAAGCAAGAAAGAATCTACTGAAAGTCCTCAAACAAATTCATGCAAACAAGTCATCTGAGTTTGCTGTAGGAGAAGTCAGCACAAATCTTACAACAACCCCAGGAATCAAGATTTCCAACTATGGTCCAGTCAGCCTACCAGTTACAGAATCGACCATAGGTGATCTCCGCAAACATTTTCATCAAGCGCCTTATGGTCTGGGGGAAGCAACCATTATTGATAAAACTGTCAGGGACTCCTGGCAACTTAACCCTGATAAATTTGAAATTTCAAATGCTAAATTCCATCTTGGTGTACAGAATATTGTCCAGGAGGTTCAAAATGAGCTTGGCTGCTCAAATATCCRTATCACATCAAGGCTTTACAAGCTACTGCTGTATGAACCTGGTGGCCATTTTAAGCCTCATCGTGATACTGAGAAGCATCCAGGAATGTTTGCAACCCTGATCATCCAACTTCCTTCAATTTTCACTGGTGGTGACTTGATTGTAAGGCACAACTCCAAAGAAAAGAGAATTGCTTTTGGTGCCGAAGATAGCGAGTACTCGTGCATATATGCTGCTCACTATGCAGACTGTGAGCATGAGCTGACTGAAATAACGTCTGGTTACCGAATGGCCCTGGTGTACTCATTATGCTGGGATGGTAATGGTGTTGTACCTAGTCCTCCTGATATCCCTACCAATGAGCTAGCTGGGTTACTACAGAACCTTCCTAATCCAGGTATGCTGGCATGGGGTCTAGATCATCACTACTCCAAGGCATCTTTACTTGATATTGGGGTACAAGCTCTCAAAGGAGGAGATAAACTAATCTATTCAAGTCTTGAAGGTGCTAATGCCTTGCTGGGGGAGGACAAGAAGTTGGAGTTCTTTATTGTAGAGGCCAAAAAGACCGACAACATGTATGGGTCGTGTACCATGGAGTACTATGGAAGACGGCGTGGATATTGGGGGCATGATGATTTTGGAGGTGATTGTTTTGATGATGATGGTGATTGTGAGACAGAGTATGAATTTAATGTCATTGGTGTTGATGGAAAAGAGTGGAGTGGATCATTGAATTTTAAGTTGGATGTCAAAAAGGATGTTTTGAATATTGGTAAGAATGATGATGCATTTTGGGGCAAGTGTCATGAGGGGGAATGTAGTGGACCTTCTGGTAATGAAGGAGCATCAAAGACCAACTGGTATCGCCGTTATGTCCTTGTTCTTTTTCCAAAGGAAAATGCTGTAAAGGTAGTGTACAAGCATTCCATCAGTTCTGCTGTTGAGTACCTGGAGCAAGAACTGCAGAATAAAGGTGCATCTTCTGTGAAGAAACTTGCAAATGACATTGTTGATCTCTGTGTTCAAAAAAAGAAGAGATTTTGCTCAAACCAAAAAAATGTAATGACAATGCTTAGGATGTTGCTAGCAATGAATGAGATGGAGTTGGTAAAGAAACTGCTTGTGCTGTTGTCTGAGCAATCAGTGTCATCCCATTCAGCATATAATTGGCAAGCTGGTTATTATAAATCAACACAATGTGTATTTGGAATACCCTCTGAGAACATTGCCGGTCTCTTGAAAGATCTGATTTGTGCATTTGGATGGAATGCCCTGGAAGACGTTTTGACAAAGTTGATTGAATCATGCCCATCCCAGCATTACAAGCATGCCATAGCATTTCTAGAGCAATGCCCAGATGATGTTCCAAGAGAGCAGCTATTAATCTCCGTAGTCCATAAAGCTGTGAACTCAAAAGACGCAAAAGAAGCAAATCTATCTGATGATATTGTGATAGCAATTGGACGTGTCATCTTAACCTATCCTGATGTAACTGCTCAGTTTGTAATGCCATTCCTGAACTTGCCGAAATTGCAGAATCTTCAGATGTTAAACAGCATCTTGTCATTCTGGGGGAAAACAAGGAGCGAAGACATGAACAAGAGCACATTTTATCAGATGACTTTCACAAAGTTTGGTGCAAAGATGCACAGTATGTTTCAAGGTGGTCATAAACTTTCAGTTCCAGAGATGGATGCCATTGTAAAGGGTGCAGAATATCTTGTTAACATCCAAGAAAGTGGGCTGTTCAAGACACTTGTAGATGATGTACTACACACTTTAAATGCAGTTTTGTTGAAAAAATTACTTGAAAGTAGTTTTGCTCAGGTAGCCAATGTGTCTGAACCTGTCAAGTACCTTATCCAAGCTCGTGTCAATCAGCTGATGCCTATTGTTAGTGCTGGAGAACCAAGATTTACTTGGTGTTTACCAAACGCAGTCATACCTGGCTATCCAGACATCCAAGCATTTCTACGAAGTCCAGAAAGAACTTTGGTCTATACCAAGTTCAATGCAAGAACCAGGGCAGACATTTTCAAGAGGCAGTTCTCAAGTTACATGTATGCTTCAGTTGAAGTACATGGTAAGCTTAAAGATACAGTAGTCAAGATCACCAAATTACAAGCTCTCAAAACAAGACATGACGAAGCTATGAGGAAATATAACGACCAACGTGAAGAACTCAGAAGACTGCAAGCTAAACTTAGTCTGGGTACAATAGTCTTGTAAATGGTGCCTTATTTTGGACATAACATGTACAGTAGACTACAGTATGTGGCATCAAAAAACTTTATAGAATGACGAGTCAGAAATGACTCTGCCTTCAAATTAGACTGTGTACTATACTGCTGTTTATAGTAATAGTGATGCTCAAACTGACTTATGTTGAGGTATATATATTATTGACATTTTTTATAGTTTAAAAGGTCTTTCTGACTAGCAGAATGGCTATTTAAGCACTGTTATTGTTCTGTTGCTATCATTTTGGTATCATTGCCTACCTTATTGGTTTATATGTGAATGTTTCATTTTATAAATTTTGATTCATATGTTGATTTTATGTACTTTATCATGAATTATACAAAAATATTAATGTAAATGTTATAGTTTATACTGTCAAGAACTGCTTACAAGATATTTATATATAGATATATATATTTCAGCTCATACAGCCTTTTGCAAAAATTATGAGAATTGTTGAAATATCTAAATATCATAATATCGAGTGCATGATGTGTAATCCAGCGCGATGCCCTTAGTCCCTTGTCTTTGTTGTTTAGTTTTTTTTGGTGACGTACTTATCCGTAGTTCTGAWCATTTTCWCGATRTCAACAATGAATTATTCTAGCAAACCCGCGTGTTCCGGACAATATATGGATATGGATATTATGATATTTAGATATTTAGACAATTCTCATAATTTTTGCAAATGGCTGTATACATTGTTGACATTGAGAAAATGTTCAGAACTACGGATAAGTCTGTCGCCAAAAAAAAAAACTAAACTACAAAGACAAGGGACTAAGGGCATCGCGCGGGATTACCCATCATGCACTCGATATTATGATATTTCGATATTTCGACAATTCTCATAATTTTTGCAAAAGGCTGTAGTGGTAATATTGATATCACCAGAATTCATCAATTTATATGATTAATGTTATATTATGAAAATAAACCATGTTTACAACTTTTTGACATAAGATGGTTCCTTCTGTGAGTACTAGAGCTATAACAGAGCACAAATTTCATAGTTCAATAGAAACAAAAGAGCATTCATTTATTCATTCATTCATCCATTAATTTATATACATTACCGCTGAAASAAAAATCTTTGTGGATATCCTTGTAAGAGTCACTAACTCAGTTCTTATCAAGTGATCACAGATAATTAACTTGAGAAGACCACTGTCTTACCCTGGACCAGAGGCAGGATTTAATGTCTGCTATAATTTACTTGCGGTGTGAAGTGGCGTCTTTGAGGCCAATAAGGCTGCATTCATTATGTATACCACAGGGGGGCAGAGGAAATTTTGCTAGAAGGCACAAAATTTTTGGATTCCCATCCCCCCCCCCCCCAATTCTCAGCAGTAATTTTCATAGCCCCCCAAAATTTGTGCGATAGACATGATATATGAGACATTTATGTATGGTCAAAAATTTTGACATCCCCCCTTTTCCAGTCCCTAAATTTTCAGATCACCCTCATTATTGTAGTATACATAATGAATGCAGCCTAAGGCCTAACCGTAAACCAGCTGTCATCTCTAGACTCCAGTGATCCATGGATTTGGAATATAATGCCAATTCATGGGAATGTCGTGAAGTAGTGACGATAGACACGTGTTTGTGGTCAACCTGTGTGTTTTGCCTCGTTTCCATTCATGATCGTACGCACGAGCGTCGCACTGAACAAGATGGAAGGTATTGTAAAACGATCCAGGTAGTGAAAATGCTACTTTAAAACATTTCTCTCGACTTGTACACAACTTTAGAGTGTCAAACGACTTTGTTGAAGCACAACTAGAATCATGTACAATAATATCGGGCTTGCAACGGCCCGTGGTTCAGGAACGAACGGTTATGTGCAGAGAAACTTATCGGCTGTACGTTCGAGAAAGGAAAAAGTTGACTACATCAATGAAGAAGCACTTAATAAAATGGAGCAAACATACGCCAGAAAACCAAATAAAGAAATCCTGGAACACCAGAGGAAAAGAGAAATTGAACTTAAATGTTTGGAATTGCAAGACATAATGGAAGAGCAAGGGTAAGCTCTAGTTCGACATTTCACTATAAGCTTACTTTTAGCTTTGCTAGCCGCTTTTTAGCTTATAACTCGAGCTTTATAGAGAATTTTCATATTTCTTTAAGTTGTACATAAGTTTAAGTTTGGTTCTCTGTTAATCTCTCAAACTATAGACTTTAACAATACTTTACTGTTCATTATTTCTCAGCCGTATGCCATGAGTTGTAGCTATCTGATTAAATCTTTTGTGTTCATTTTGTTATAAACTTGTGAATTCTCTTAGCTGAGTATATAGACTAATATGCATTTTATCTATAAAATAATTGTGATGAGTTGTTTGCGAAGCTTTTATACTTAAATTGTAATCCTAGTACATCCTTTGTATCTAAATTCTAGATCTCATCATCATCATTAAACATTTTAACCATCACAATCATCTGTCATTTTACCCAATAGAACCATTCAATTTCATTTTGTTGTAAAACTTTCATAAAATTGCACAACATGGGAGTTTAGCGAGTAGTAATGTTTTTAATACAAAAAAGAAGCTGATAACAAAAGTGTGTATCGAACTTACAGGGGTAGCGCAGGGTTTTTTACAATGGAGGTGGGGGGGACAGTCATATTGAAAGTCTAAAAAAGCATTACTCTGGAATCAAGGGTATAGGGATGAAGTTATTTCATGTATTGTGATTTTCATCAACTGCAAGACAGTTGCAATGCCATCATAATGTCAATGCTATTTTGGGTAATTTACTATGTACCTTTCCTGTCTGGGAATTTATTCAGTTGAGATAAGTTATGTTCGTTATGTTCCAAAGACTCGTTTACTTAGAATACTATGACTGCAAAAGAGGGCTGGGTGACTAGCTTTGTTCGCTTATTCAATGAACTTAACTGGGTACCTTTTTATGAGGAAACCAACATACTGAAGTGTGCTATTCTGTTTAAGAGAACTCAATTTACAGTTATGGAGTACCTAATTAAAACGTTACAATTAAATAGCTCTAGACATTCCAGATCAAATAGATACTCAAAGAGAGGGAAAACTTTTGTAGTTAGTGCCATAGATGGAACAAATTTGATACTTCGTTAAGGAAACAAACAACACTTTAGTTTTTTTAAAAACAGTCTTTTTGAAAATTATTTTTGAAAAACAAAAGCATTTGTTCCATTTTAATCCTTATTGCTTTAATAATTAAGTATGATAAAGTGTTTTAATGATTTTGTATATTTCATATCTTATATATTTATAATAGTTTTAGTATTAGTATAGGAGGACCACAAGTTTATTAGTATTGTATACTTAGTATTATGTGTTTACCATTGTTGAATTAAAAGTCTTTCTTATTATTACAGTATTATATCTACCATTACTTGAGTATCATTTGGTAATCATGTTCTTTGCTATTTATTGTTGTTACCTTACATTGGGACAAGGGTGATTACAGTATTCATTGCAATTGATGATTTCCAGGTACAATGATGATGAGATTGAAGCAAAAGTGTCTCAACTCAGAGCAACATTAAGTTCTGCTTTTGAAGAAAAAACAAAGAAAAAGTAAGTGCACTCCTTTGACATGACTGGGTTGAATGGCCTGTTAGAGATTGGTTCATGTAAAGTGCTACTGGGCTTAGCCATGATAATTTTTAAATTCAATGTTGTTTTTCTTTAGCATCAATCCCAGAGAAGGTTCTGTGACATTTCTTAAAAACTGTCTCCGTGATTGTTATTTCACATTATTTTTTGAAAAATAGCAAATGAGAAATATTTGTATTTCGTGGATATATATCACATCATAACAAGGGTTTTTTGTTATAAGCCATTCAACTGATGACCTCTGGGAAGGGTTGTTCAAAGCTTGATTAGCGCTGATCCTGAGTTAACTCTTAAAAAACCTATGGAGCTACATGTATCCATGGATTAATGCTAATCGTGCTTTTAACAACCCGGTCCTGGTCAACATTTCAGTGAGACCAATGAAATTTCAGTTTGAACATGTGAACACAGACATTGTGTAGCTACTATATTAATTCATTAGAATAAATTTATCATAGTTTGAAAGAAACTCATCAAATGGCAGAAGCAGCCGAAGAAAAGAACAATAAAATGAAAGATGCTCTAGGGATCAAACAAGACTACAAAGATGGATCGTCATTCAATCAGGAACTTCAGGCAGCACAAAAAGCTGTAGAACTACAAGAAAAACAGGAAAGGTTGCAAAAAGAGCTAGAAGATGAAAGAGAGAACGAAAAAGAAAAAAGGTAAATTTTAAATTTTACTTATTATACATGGATATATTTTTATTAATTTTGAGTATTTGTATTTTTGTTAAGTTTTTTATAAATTGCAAATTTACTGTGTAGTCAAAGTTTAGTCAAAGGGCTTTGTTGTACTCTAGGTATTTCACCAGAGGGTGACATCAATTCACTTATTCTCAGTTAAATTATTACTTAAGTGCTTTCCCCTCTTTTTGGCAGTGTGTATACATGTACATGTACATGTGTTGGTGTTGTGTGCCTTATTGCCTTTAATTTTGCCCTCTTGCTTGATTCTTTACCTTGTACTTGAACAAAAAGAGCATCCTTTGTTCTAAACAGTGGTGACGAATTTGCTTCAAAGGAGCGTTTACTTGTACCTTTTGCTTGCCTTGTGATTATTGATGTAATATAGCAGTTCTGTATTTAGCAGAAATTTGTATTTTTTATGGTTTATCAATATACATAAAGAAAGCATTTTCGACATAGGGAAATAGAGAGCCAAGGATAAATACTATCAGAGTAGTCATAACCATCCATAAAGGATTGCCAGCATTTATTAAGGATGTTACTAATCAATCTTTAAAAAACTCATGTACATAATTAATGAGTTATTAAGGCCAATAGAATGAGCCTATTTGGTCACATGCATGGACCTTTATATCTGATAAAACACTCCTTATTAGTATTCTTTATATAAAGAATACTAATAAGGGTGACCTTTATCAGATATAAAGGTCCATTAACCCTAGCAAAGGTCTCAGGTTTGAAACCTGATCATTGACCAATGCAGGATGTCAACCGATTTCAGTGAACAGCCAAGAGCGATTCTATTTTACTTTATGCATATTCAATGTGGGATGACAAGAGTGCTTTGTAAAGTGATTCGCGCATGATCAGTTTGCCCCATTTATCTCTGAACATATTTTTACGGCAATTTCTCCAAGAATTTTAACGGATTTGAGTTTCAAATTAGTGTTGGAGTTTTTTAAGCCGTTTAAAACACTCTCTCTCGTGTTTTAAACATAATCACAATTATTTATCAAAAGCATGTTTGTTTTTGGCTCACATCACCCTAGTTAGTTAACAAGATCACAATACAATCATGAATTTCAAAACAAGACTTGTTTTTTGATTGTTGATTTTAATTCTCAATCAGCTTTCTTGGTTTTCTATTTCCTTATATCAAGTGTTGTGATTATAATGTGTTGACAAGTACTTTACACTGGGTGAGTACATTATCTCTGATTCCTTCTCTAGACTTTTGCATTTTATTAATCCTTTGATAATACTCTTTAAAACACAGAGGCAATATGTTTGGTATCTGGAGACTGTCTGTCTGCTTATCCATCAGATATTTTAATATAAAAAGTATATTTTATATGCATAGCTTTCTAGCGCCAAATAACCAGTCAAAAACTTTGAACTCCACAATTCGTACATCTTGATCATTATATTCTTTTATTTCCACTTAAAAATTTACATGAAGCTGCATATTTGTTCAAATACTTATTCTTATGTGTATTTCCTTTATTCAGATTGAAAGAAAAGAAAACTGAAAAGAAAAAGAAGAGAAAACACTCCCCAACACCTCAGTCAAGGTAAAAGTTTATTGCCATCAGTTGGATGTGATAGAAAGAGAAGTGCTATGAGCTGTATCAGGCTGGATTTCAATTTTGAGTACTCCTGGCAGTATGTTATTTGTGTTTAGATATGTATGTAATGATAATACTGTATATGTAATGCCTCTGCCGTCATTATTAGTTATTTTTCCATCTCGGTAATGATCAAAGCAAAAAAACAGCAATATAGAATGGTATCAGGTTATTTCGCACAAGAGACCGTTCGCACAAGTCGTTTCGCCCAAAGTTTCGGACCGTTCGCACAATTCTCATATCCATGGATAGTCATTTCGCACAGAAAATAAAATGCCTCAAAGAAAGATACGAAAGAATTGATAGAATTGGTACCAACACTGAATGAATTGGATTATCAGTAGATTTTTGACTTCATTAACCAACATAACAATCATTTTGAATCATGTCATATATTTTTTGAAGCTCTGATGATGACAGCTCTGAATCAGAAGACGACTCTCCCCCAAGATCACGTCGTAAACGAAAAAGGCACAGGAAAACATCACGAAGAAGGTACATGTAACTTGTAACAATTAAATGTAATGCTTTGGAATAATTGCATACAGTTTACCCTAGGTTTGATAATTATTTGAATGTCAAATATCTTCTATTTGCCATTGGTATATCTGGCTGTAAACCAGTACAGTACAGTTATTTTAATTGATAAAAGTTTGCCAACCTGAATTCTGAGAAATGTATACCTAACTGTACATTTTATTGAATGGGTTTCTTATTGTACATGTAGGTCATCCTCGTCAGAAAGTCCCAAGTCTAGCAAACATAAAAAGGACAAAGAAAGAAAGAAAAAGAGAGACAAGTATGACCCACAATGATGATCATCATTACTCTGACTACATCATTACTGTTGACTACATGTACAGGATAGGATTGCTGTCCAAATATGGCTACTTGTGCATATTATCTTACTTAAAAATATCAAAACTTATATTATTGAAAGCAAATCAATGAAATGACTGTCTATCTATTTGATTTGTTGGGGCCCATGGAGAATAAATTATATCATTCTAAATGATTGTCTAACCTCTACACACAGGAGATCACCCTCTGAAAGCCCAGAGAGAAAACCCAGAAAGAAGCATAAAGATGATAATAGAAAGAAAAGGTGAGGATGACAAGGGTTTTTGCTTTTGATGGTAAACCACTTTGTGGCTTAAGATATTGCACAGGTACGGAAGTCTTTTTTTTTCAGACTGGTGAGCATGCAATGTTGAAGCCTTTTTGACACCTATAGATAATATATCATTCATGGGTGTCTATAATTGGATCGGTGTTTCTAAAGAAACAGTTGTGTAAAAAGATAAATTTAACACCGTAAAAAGAAGTTGTTTGTAAGTTGTCTTACCTACGGTGTGGAATTTATCTTTTTACACAACTGTTTCTACCCAAGACTAGTCAGTAAAATAAAAATTGGTAAAGGCTGATGAAGCTATTAAATCTGATGACTGTATAAATATATGTCAACCAACTAATCTTATCAAATTTACTTTAAAATTAATCTTGGTTATTTGTGTTTAGATCAAGAAGGGACAAGAGTGAAAGCTTTGAAAGAAAGTCCAAGCACAAGAAGAAAACCAGAAAACAATCTGAGAGTGCAAGTCCTAGTCCCCCAAGAAAAAGCAGCATACAGCAAAAATTGCAAAGGTATGGAAATAAACCAATTTCCATATGATATTGCTTATTTGCTTTTATCTCAAAAAGGCTATTGTATTACATATTACTCTGTTTTCTGTAGGTTAGCTGGTGATGAAAGTACTGAGTATAATAACAAAAATAAGCAGCGACACAAGGATAGTGAGAAGGAAAAGAAATCATGGAAGCAACAATCCCCAAGCTCAAGTGAAGATGAAAAATCTCTTAGAGAAGCAAGAGGAAGAAGAACATCTGCAGAGAAACCTAAGTTGTCATCTCGTCACAATAACAGAGGACAGGACTCTGATAGTGAGCCCACAAGGGCTCTTGAAATAGAAAAGAGAAGAAACCACTCTAAGGACAAAATAGAGGGAAGAAGAAGATCAAGTTCCTATTCCGGAGAGGATAACATTGAAAGAGGTCGTAATAGATCATTTTCACCAGAACAGTCCAAAAGAATGCAACCAAGGCATCAAGAGAAACCTACTGGAAGACGACGCGAATCTGAAGAACAAAGATCAAAACCACAGTCAAGAGATTTTCCACTATCACCTCTAAGAAGGAATCGTTCAAGATCTCCAAGTCCTCCAAGAAGGAGGGTGTCAAGATCACCAGGACCACGAAGAAGAAAGTTTTCAACATCTCCCAGTCCTCCAAAATTTAAGTTGTCAAGATCCCCAGTTCCTCAAAGAAGAAAGCTTTCTAAATCCCCATTACCTCCAAGAAAGAATCTTTCAAGATCTTCAAGCCCAAGGCGAAAGCTTTCCAGTTCCCCAAGCCCCCCAAGGAGAAAAGTGGTAAGATCCCCAAGCCCCCCTAGAAGAAGGATATCAAAGTCTCCAAGCACTTCAAGAAAACTGGCAAGACCAGCAAGCCCACCAAGAAGAAAAGTGTCAATGTCTCCAAGTTCATCAAGAAGAAAACATTCAAGATCCCCAAGTCCTTCAAGACGACAACTAGCAAGATCTCCAAGCCCTTCAAGACGAAAACTAGCAAGATCTCCAAGCCCTTCAAGACGAAAACTAGCAAGATCCCCAAGCCCTTCAAGACGAAAACTAGCAAGATCTCCAAGCCCTTCAAGACGAAAACTAGCAAGATCCCCAAGCCCTTCAAGACGAAAACTAGCAAGATCTCCAAGCCCTTCAAGACGAAAACTAGCAAGATCCNACCAGGACCACGAAGAAGAAAGTTTTCAACATCTCCCAGTCCTCCAAAATTTAAGTTGTCAAGATCCCCAGTTCCTCAAAGAAGAAAGCTTTCTAAATCCCCATTACCTCCAAGAAAGAATCTTTCAAGATCTTCAAGCCCAAGGCGAAAGCTTTCCAGTTCCCCAAGCCCCCCAAGGAGAAAAGTGGTAAGATCCCCAAGCCCCCCTAGAAGAAGGATATCAAAGTCTCCAAGCACTTCAAGAAAACTGGCAAGACCAGCAAGCCCACCAAGAAGAAAAGTGTCAATGTCTCCAAGTTCATCAAGAAGAAAACATTCAAGATCCCCAAGTCCTTCAAGACGACAACTAGCAAGATCTCCAAGCCCTTCAAGACGAAAACTAGCAAGATCTCCAAGCCCTTCAAGACGAAAACTAGCAAGATCCCCAAGCCCTTCAAGACGAAAACTAGCAAGATCTCCAAGCCCTTCAAGACGAAAACTAGCAAGATCCTCAAGTCCCTCAAGAAATAAGCTTTCAAGATCCCCAATCTCTCAATCTCCTATTCCACCAAGAAGGTATCAAGGAAACCATGATAGATACCAAAGCCCTCCAAGACAGGTTAAGTCAAGAGATAGTAATTCGCGATCTCCTAGAGTGCCAAGAAGGCAACCGGCATCTATTTCTCCCCAAAGGCAGTCTCGATCTCCTCAAAACAATGCAAGATCTAGAAGACGGGAGTCTCCAATATCACCAAACCATTTGCAAGATAGAAATGACTCCCAAAGGCGAAGGGGCCAACAAAGATCTCCAGACCATTTTGATCATTTTAGATCTGGCCATAGTCCACCAAGAAAGACACAGGCTGATGAGCTGAACAGATTGGAGATGAACAGGCAACCAAAAGGCTCACAATCACCTGAAAAAGCTCTTTCTCCCAAGACAAAACAATCCATTGAAAGGTCAAGTAGAAGCCCTCATAGAACTAGACCCATTGCCTCTACTATTTCAAAGAAACCTGCCGTAGAAAAGAAAGAAGACACCAAACCCACAAAGCCTGATTCAGATTCAGATTCTTCATCTGAAAGCTCAGAGGAGTCAAACTCATCATCGGATTCAGATTCAAGCAGCTCAGATGAAAGTGATACCAATCAAAAGAAATCAGTTCCTTCAAAACCAGACAGTAGAAACACCACATCCAAAGAAACAAAAAAGAGATTGTCCCCTCAAGGGAAAAACACTTCATATTCACAAAGCCAAAGCTTGTCAAGACAAAGCCATCTTTCACCAAAGCAACAAACAAAAGGTTCTCCTCAAAGAAACTACCCAAGAAGACCAAGAAGCTCAAGTTTGAGCCCATCAAGAAGACGAAGCAGTCCTGGGTGGAACAGAAATCAGAGAAGAAACTCAGATCAATTCAAGAGGAGCCCTTCACCTTCCTACCATCGTCAACGTCGTTCACCATCTCCAAAAACCAACAGGAGGAGACTGCCTTCACAACAGTGGAGACAAAATAGACAACGGAGTCCTGAACAACAATATTCACCACAAAGGACTTACAATAGAAGGTCTCGCAGTCCAAGAAGAAGTAGAAGTCCCATTCAAAGATACTCTCAAAGCCCTTCTAGGCATCATTCCTTTCCAAGAAGGCAGAGTTCTGAAAGACAAAGAGAACCATCAGCTAGTCAAGTAAGACCTCCCAATGTGTCATCAAGACAAAAGGATGGTGCAAAAGATGAAACTCATCTTCCAAATCAAAGGTTTGTCTTGGAATTACATAGTCTGTTGAATGAAGGCATGAATACAATGGTCTTGGTTAGTTACAAAATTATTTAATCAGCTAAAAATAACAGATGCTCAAAATGTTAATTACACTTTAATGTAACTTGTTCAAAATAAAACAAATCAGGAAATGTGTACATAGGGGACTAGCATGGAAATTGCTCAAAATTAGAAATATAATTATGCTGATAAATGATTGTTGGATGATAACATTATCTTTGCTACTGCTAATATTTTAATTAAAAATTACTTGTTTTAATTTTAGGTCAGGAGAGGAAAAAAAGAATGAAAGTGGATCTCCCAAGAACAAAAAAAATAAGGATAGCGATAGCAGTAGTGAAGCAAGTGACAGTAGCAGTGACAGTAGTGCTTCAACTAGCAGTGATGATTCAAGTGATGATTCTAGTAGTGAAAGCAGTAGTGATAGCGATAGCCCAAAGAGATGATTTCATTGTGTGAATCATTTTGAAGACTAGGAATATCTATACTAATCCTATACTATGGGTGTACACTATAATATTACTCTTGTTTGCATTATTTCATTTTGATTGAATGACCTTTTTTTAATATGTAGTAGGAATTAAATTTTCAGCAGTTTTTTGCATGATGGATCTATTCACAAGCTCTAGACACTCAATGGAGGACTTGGACAATAGGAAATCCATTATCACAGCTGGAAAGTTTAGGAGAACTGCTGTAAAAATTACCAAACTGTGGACGGAAAACACTGCTCTCAACACCCCTTTTTTCATTAAATTCCTGAAAATGTTTTGACACAATAGTTATCTACAGAATATTTTTTTGTCACAAATATTTGAGCATAAGATTTTCCAAAGTTACTCCCTCCTGAACAGTATTGAAACACTTTTATTCAGTACTTTCTTTTGTTGGTTTTTTGACAAGTGAATATTTTCTCTATTCAGCAGTTCTTATAGGATTCTTATAGGATTCAGTGGTTCTTATAGGATAACTTAATTTTTTGGTGCTAATGTGTACATGTATAAAGAGCAAAGATTCTAAGGGTATAGCTCTGAATTCCAAGAAATGTAATGTAAGTCATCCTTTGAGTCTCAGTGGTATAGACCATATCTGGGATGTTCAATATTTTGTCAGCATTAATTTTTACTATACAGAGTGTACACCATTAACTGTCTTTGTGTTGCTGGTCTAATTTCTTGAGTGATCTTTTAGTTGACAACTACATAGTGAATATGTAAAGTAGGCACACTTAATCAGCATGAAATGAGCATTAAAAAAACAACAAAGGAATTACTATAATCAACTTTCATGAATTAAGGTCATGTACTCTTCTTCTATGTGCTAAAATGTTGCGCAGTTTGTTCATGGATAAATAAAATGGCTTGCACTCTGTAATATTACCTGCTTAGGGTTACAGTAGTTTAGTATTATTTTGTTTTGTGATTGGGTTTAGTGCCCTTTCTTTCACAGCACCAACAAGGAAATCGAAAGTTAGCATGTTTTGTAGAATATAATCAAGCCATCATGTATTGTACTTTTAGCTGTCTTATTAATAAAACACTTTTATAAGCACTCGTCAGCTGATATTTGGAATCATTTTTTGCCAACTCCCATAAGGGAATGTTCACTACAAAACTCAATAGATAAGAAAACAAGAGCAAAAAGACAATTACAAATGCCTGGCTATGCAATGAATATTGTTTTAATTAAGATTTTGGCTACACTTCTACATTACTGCAAAAAGCGCAAGTAAAAAATATTTGTGAGACAGATTGCCTAGGAAATAATGAATTCAAAATGATTGCAACTGTGTTGTAAAGTTGTTATATCAACTAGCAAAAGGTGGTAATCTGTTTTCACAGACAATGGAAAACCAACAGTCCATATGGACTGGTTCTAGCCTGGTTCACACTAACATATTTAACCTATTGTTTATATTCATATTCTTCACACCCATTTTCCTTTTGAAAACAAAAAAGGTCGCAAAGGAGACTAGCTTATGATACTTGCTGTGATTATTTTGATGCACAAGCTTGACTTCATTCCTTTGTATTGCCCCACAACGAATTTTCTGAGTTCTGGATTCCATGGAAATTGTGCAATGATTCTAGATTCCACCATACTGGATTTTGACATACTGGATGTTTTTTAGGAAACATTTTAAGTAATTTGGACCTTCTGAATTCCCCTTTTTTATCTAATTCAGTTTTCGTTGTCAGGATTCCAGATTCCAAAGCGAAAATTAATATTGTGGGATTCCAGATTCCATGTCTTGGGGCAATTTGTGTTTAATTGTTAAGATGTTTAATCTGAGACCAAATCAAACGAATAAAACATTCTTTCCCATAGCATAATATTTTGTGCAGGTTATTGTCTTATCTGTAGACAAGACTTCACAAGTCTACCTTATTTTGTATTTTGTTCTTTTGGGATTGTCAAAAATCTATTTCATTGGTGCATTAAATTATTAAAACTGGAAAGTGATTTGTAGAAATTTGTGCAAGTTTGCTCTATTTTGTCATCCTAAGCAGAGTTGGTCTCTGTCTTAAGTTATGTATGATAATTACCCTGTTGTAAAAAAAAACACATAGGATCGTGTTCATTTGACTGCATTTGACTGTTTGCTTTTGTTCTTTACCAACAAATACTACCGTAACTAAAATGTCATTTTCACAGCAAAGTTAAATCAAAATGACTATACATGAATATATTATTTATACATGTGGAAAACAAGTGCTGAGAAAATTTCCCTTGTATTGGTTGAAATAAGCCTTTCCAATAATGTTTGTGCCTGTGGATAATTATTTGCATATACACCAAGTTATAATTTAGCTGATTTATGTCCATGTTCATCACACTGGACACAGGCAAGAGCACCCATGGGATCCCATGCAGGCAGGACTACTACATCTTGGTTTAACAAATCAAGCTTGTCCTGTGGGATGTATTTTTTGTCCACAACTACTTCATAGACATATTCAGTAAACCAGTCATCTGTCATCACCAGGTAACCCTTGTCTCCTTTGTCATCTCCCCATGAATTCTCAACCCTCCATTTAGATGTCTTGATTGGTGTCAGGGTTACTGGCTGTGTGGATTCATCCTTGGGTTCTTCCTCTGTCTTTTCCTAAAAGAAATATTTCAATATTAAAAAATTTAAAAAATTTAAATAAAAAAAAAATCAATTAAAAATTAAATTAAAAAATATTAAAATATTTTAAAAACATTTTGTTTCAACAGTCTTTGGGTTTGAAGTGTCTAATATAATATTGAATGGTTTGAAGAGCGAATACAATGGTTAACTGGTTTATTGCATTATATATTGAATAAATTGTACCAGACTGAATAAATTATCATGGCTACCAGTAAATAATATGCAGGCAAAGTACCAGTAAATAATATGCAGGCAAAGTTAGCATTGATGCATTATCACCTGTGATGTTTCTATGATTACAATCATCTTTCTTTATATAATGTGCTAGTGTGGACATATACAACTGTAGCTGGCTTGCAATGCTATTTTAGTTACCTCAAGGTCAAAAGAAAGTCCAGTAAGTGTCATAGCATGTGTCATGAGAGATTCACCATAGATGAGCCGTTGTGCTTTGTCCATACCAAGTAATGACAAACCAAACACTAAATCATAGTTATGTCTACAAATATAACAAAAGTCATTTCATTTTCAAGGAAGATGGGAGAGGTGTTAAGTCACTCCAGTAAGACTAAGTCAAACTATGGGTAGAACATGGAATCTGTATGCAACTAGATGATAATGAGTAATTGAAATTGAAATTGGTACATTTTGAGATCCTGCATTTGATCCAGTTCTTAGATTGAAGTGTTATGTTAAGTCCTTATTTACAGTTCCATTATTTTGTTCTTGTAAAATACTGACTTTCAATGAGGATCTCAGGAAGTAAGAAGAGGTTGGCAATATACAATTTAATTAACTTTGCCCAAATCACTTACATTTTTGTATCAAGAGCTCCAATTTTGTTTGCAAAGTGTTTACCAACATCGCAGCCAAACCAAACAGCCTAGATAAAAAACATTCAAAGAAATTATAAATGATTTCTTTGCAATATTATCATTTGCCACTGATTGCTTTGGTCTGAATTACAATATAATATAACCCAACTAAGAAATGAAGGACAAGGACATGTTTTATTTAATAGTTTTCCATTAATTTTAATTTATAGATATCAAATACAACATTTTTGAGTTCAAAGCAAATAACCGCGCTATTTTATTTGACAGAGGATTCTCTTGTGCAAAGATCTTGTCAAACAAACAGGAAAGAATTAAAGAAAATAAGAACAATAGCAATTATTAATAGTTGTAAGAACAATAGCACTAACAAATTGCATTTTCCCCAAGTTGAAGCATAGCCCTGTATTCCCAGAATGACTTAAACTTTAGGCCTTTTGGGTATACAGGGTTAGTCTCAACTCAGGAAAAATGCAAATTTCCAAGGCGTTTTCAATAATGACACTTTCTTGTGCTTTCTTTTGTGGCTAGTGAGGTACATGTACTTGCACAAGAGAATCTGTTGTCAAATAAAGCATTTTTTTGCTTTGAAATTGAAAATGGAGTATTGGTTAAAATACCTCATTATCTCTAAGTGATGCTGCTGCCAGGTACTTTAGGACCTCAACAGGTTGATTGAGGTATACTATTTGACGGCCATTAGCAAAGTTACCCAAGTACTCCACGGTGTATAGTTTGTTGTACTCATTTCTTGGGTCATTTACAATACAAACCTTGCAAAAACATGTAAAGTAAGAGTAATGATGTGCTATGATTATATCTAAGACACTTATGCCCCTCAAACCTTGATGCTAAAGTAAAATTGTACTCAACAAGTTTGAGTCTTTGACAAGGAACAATATTCCATGGGAGAAAACATTTCAGTAGTCTCCATTGCAGACATGCTTAATCACACTAATCCCATTAACCAAACATGGCTGTGTTTGTGTCACGACAATAATAAAAAAGGTAATATCATGAAAGATAAAACTGAAGGGAATTTTAATCAGAAATTCAAATAATCATATTTGCCTCACATGTTACATCATAGCATTAATCATAGCCTGCATAAATCAGGTTTTATTCTCTACAATAACCATCAGTGTTTACGAGTAAATCCTGTATGAAACTCAGGCTACATTAATTGTAGAGAAGGTCATTTTATTTGATACAGGCAATCTGTTGGCACTGAATCATTGTAAGTTACACTCCGAATATTTGCTTTCCCATGATCCCTTTTGGCATCAATTAGCTTTCATGATGTAACCTTTTGGAACCTGACCATTTTTATTTTTCAATTTGTACCTTGTCAAGCACATTGTAAACAGGTTTGACATGATCCTGGTAGAACTTTAATGGAGTGAGCCCTTCTATTTTGGTGTATTTCTTACTCTTGTCATAGAATTCCCATGTAAAAGTCTCTGGTGGTTTTCCTAAGGATATTACTACCACACGATATACCTGCATAACAATACATACCATGATGATAAGATGTCTCCTTTATATGTCTGATATGTATTTTACTCAGTATATATGTGGGTCAGTACATGCAGGTACAGCAAGGGTAATGATAGCAGGTCCTATATTGGTTTTTCTAGTCTAATACTCTATTACCCTATCGCTGGTAGGTTTGTGTCTTTGAGCAGTCACAAGTCCATTCTACATTTTACTTATCATTATCTCTGTAACATTCATCACCATATTCATTGAGGAAAAATTGCTGCTAATAGCTGTCAAGATACATGACTAATGGTTGACTTCTAAAAACCCACCGTTTCCATCATTTTGTTCTTGGCTTCTTCTATTTGTTCACTAGAACAACCATCTTGAACCATCTTCCTCAGCTTTGATGCAAACTCTCTGTGCTGATTGAATCATAAAGAATAGTTAAATAGAAAATGTTGAACATGTATGAATTCTAGTGAGAATAAACTAAAGAGCAATATTGACTTTCTCAGTCTTTTAATAATCTCCCTTAATAACATGTGAGTGTTCGTTTTTGTGTGACTATTTGATGTTTTCAGAACATCCAGTTTCCAAGATCCAACTATAGTACTAGTATCAAAGCGTAATGTTCTTGATTCAACTCTTTATTGTTTAGATATTATTGCATTCTTGACTTTAGATATTCATGTACAGTATATAATATGTTACTACGCTGATTGAAATGTAATGTGGATTACACTTATTCAATAATTGCTAATAAACTATAAACCAACCTTATTATTGAGGATATTATTCATCCTACGAGAGCTGCTTGCACTATGTGAGTCAGGCCAGACAGCTTTAGGTATAAGACCATACTTCTCAACCAAGTTCACCAACATATCCCATTGTCCTCCATCATTCATTGGGTTACTCAATAAATACGACATGAGACGTCCATCAGGCTCCTCTCCCTTCTTAGCAAGCTCAACATATGCATTGATAAAGAAATAGGATCTCTCTATCTTGTCCCAGAAGAACAGATATTGTTGACTGAATTCAAACTCATCTAAATTCATCTTCTGTACAAACTTTTGCCTCATGCAGTTAAACAGTGCATAGATCCAGCAACGTCCTGATGACTTTTGATTGGTCATGGGTTTTACTTCATTCACCTATAGTTTACATCAATTGTATGATAATATTGATACTTGATTTCCTTAAAAATGCTCAAAAGTCTCTACTTAGGGCCAGTTATACAATGCGTGAATAGTGCCATCCACTGGATTACCCTAATTATCCACCAGATAAAATCCATTCAAAATCTATGAATTGGATGACTTTAACTAGCCTTTGTACAACTGGCCCCTGTATAATGTAATGAAGGCTGTTGAGAGCTAATTATTTTTGCACAAAAGGTGAAGATTCTAGCCATTTACACTAGAAGTTTAATGGGTCAAGTCTTAGTAAACTATCTTCAATAGTGGAAAAGCAGGGTAGGGAGGTTTGTTAGTGAACACACATATTTTCTAATGCTAAGTTATACATGTAGTTAACAAATATATGATAGGATATTTTGATGATACAATGGCACCAACTATGGTAAATAACAGAACACACACAAAAAAATCCCAGAAAAAAAACATTGCAACCACAATATGTACTTTCATTTAAAAATGCTCTCGACCAATCAGAAATCGCAAAAAATATACTATTGTGGTAAAAATTTGATTTGACATTTAAGCTTACTGGAACCTTGACCTTGAAAGTCTTGAACATCAAGTTTCTGACAAGTGGAATTACACTTCAAATACACTTCCGGTTTTACTTTAATTGATTTTATTTTTTGTTTTGAGCATAATCTTGAGATGGATTATTTAATACGGGCTAATTCTCAGTAAAACCATTTTTTGTGTTCGTGACGTGGACACAATACAAGCTTACAAACCCAATGATCATGTTACAACAAACTGTAGAGTTAACTTAGAGTTCTATTGGTTTAAACGATATATTATTCCTTTTACAATATTCAACAACTAACATTACATATGTCTAGGAAGGTTTCTAAACGCCTCAAATTTAAGTTTAAGATTTTTGTTGTATGGCGTCTTAAGCTTACCTTATGAGTGAAAACATGATTTGTATTCTCGATGGCTTGCCGGTCAAGGCAAAGCTCAAGTAAATCAGTCTTGGTTCCTAAATTCAAAGACAGTTGATTCTTCGCATCTTTACTGAACTCCGTTTGGCATTTTGTGATTAAATCGCTACTTATTCCCGTCATTTCTTTGCTGTCTTCTCAGTAGATATAAAGTTTATATGTTGATATGGACCATAATGCACCATGATTCCAAAGGAAGCCCAACCATTTCTTTTCCAATAGCCAGTTGCCGATAATGTACCGACCAATCTGACCACATAGTTTGCTTAATCCCTTACTCTACTTCAAACCGAATGTATAAGGTGCTATAAATTGATTTGCAGAGCTTCAATGCATAACAGTACATTAAAGGGACACTGTCAATGGATGACATGCGCGGTATTAAACAGTCTCACCTCTAACGGACTTTGAAAGTATTACCTTCGAGGTAAATCATTTTGTGGTGCTTTTGACACACTTTGGAATATTCTAGATCTGTTTACGTTTACGAGCTGATTTATGTCGCGCCAACTTGGAGTCATAAACTTGAAAACACTAGCCTTTTCAAGTTTACTCGCGCATGCGTGCCATTGACAGTGTCCCTTTAACTAGTGATGACACATTTCTCTGAGCCAAAATGCCACACCAACTCAATAATTTGACAATAATAAAGCAAAATCTTTATTATTTAGGAAGGCATTCGCACAAAAAACACGAAAATATTGCAGAGAGAACGTTGTTGTGTTTTTACAAGTCCAAGTGCACAATCCAGGACAGCGGTTTTACAACTTACTCTTATGACGTCATAATCGCTAATGATCTGATTAGTGATGATTAGTTATGTTCTCGTAAAACAAGATACAATGGAAGTGCGATTCTTAGCAAAATGTTTTTATTATAGGAGCCTCACAGAATCGCAACTAGGGTCGACGGACTCAATAAATTAGAAAAGGCTTTAGCTAATTGCATGGGAATCTAACTACATATTGAGGTAACAGAGATGTTAATTCTGATTTTGTTAAGTTTTTGTCATTTTAGATTTTTGTTGACAAGAAGATAGATAGATATGCTTAATCACAACATTCAACCATCACCAAATGCCTGTATTTTATAATATTTCAGAGTCAAAATCATAAAGTTTATACCACATTTATCTAAAACCATCACCAGTATGAAAGGCATTGCATCCCTTACAATCATTATTTGATAGATGAGAGTTCTAGGGGTGTGCTGCCGGTCCCCTCGGACTGGTTTTACTGTTTCGAGAAAACAGCTGATTCCTGTCGCAAATCTCCACTCTCCACACCAGTACACCGACCTAATATCGTAGCAAGAAATGTTACTGAATTTTTGCAGTCATTCGTATTTTGCAGTAATTTAGAAGAATGGTGGTTAAACTAGCTTTTTGTGCAATCTGAATGTTTGTTTTGGTACAATCTTGGATGTATTTTTTTACGCACATGCATACCATATAGTTAAGGGGCCCATTATAGGTTGACTTAGAGAACAAGTTCGCTATTGACTTATTTATATTTAAGGTAACTCAAGGGGGTCATGAGTATTAGTAATCATCATATGAGAACTTGGTACAAGGTTTACCGCAAAATTACATGATAATTTAAATAGATCAAAATAAGTCCCGTAACATTAGCAAAGCCAAACACAGCCAAGTGTTTTAGTGAGGAGTTTCCGAACAGCAATTCTGACTATCTAAAGGTTATAAAGGCCCACCTACATCCGGCAACCTTTGCGCGATATTTTCTTTTAATAAGTGTAAGTGTTTCTTCAGACTGGACGACGGCCCAATGCAATTTCATCGTTAGATATCGGGATTAATATACGTTGTCGTACACAGTTCATTTATCTGTGTTCGTTTACAATGCAAGCAGCCCAATCATAACTTATGACTTGCGCGTAATCAAGTACAGCGGTTTTACCGCACACTTTTATCTCGTCATGATAACTAATGATTTTGTTGATTGTGTTCTCATCCAAGACGGATGTACAACAGTACACCCAGAGACTTAAGCTCTATTTTCGAATTCAAAGAATCTAACAAATATCAAGTATATTATTACACGTAGCAGATAACTTAGATTTTTTTTATTTGATTTTAGGGTTTGGCTCAGCCTGACAAAATTGAAAAAAGATTTATTATTCAAAGCTGCAGTGTGATGTTTTCTCCATATATATTAGGAAAGACTACTGCTTTCAGAAAAGATATTCAGCAGGTTTTCTTGAAAAATGTCCCTTTTATAACTCCATCGCAACATTTTTTAGTTTTCTTGTAGAAGTAGTGACCATCGCAGCATCCATACTTGGATTTGTCAATTCTTCTTTTCCCACAGCATTCATGAGTCTCCAAATTGAAAAGCTTTCCATTGCAACAGCCGGTCGTTAAGGAATTATAAACACCACAGTCCAATATCTCGTCCTGTATAACATTGCTTTCTGCAAGTACAAAAATATACCAGATTTATAGTCATTGATACAAATCAAATGAAGAAACCATGAAATATTATCCATTACATTAAGATAACTGTGATAGTGGCCTCAGTGAAATCGAAGTGACGGAAATAGGTCAATAGTCGCCATGATGGGTTTTCATTTATTTGAAACAAAGTTATGAGTTAAAAGCGTAATAAAGCGTGATACACACACACACACACACACAAATCGTGCATAATATTAGAGTGTAGTAAAGTGTATAGCGCCAATCGTACGCTAAGGTATGCTATTCATAATTACTTTTATACGTTAAGGGTTAAGAAAGCGCGCTTTTATTTTAGCGAGGTAACAAACCATTAAATGTTTAAAAATGCAAATTGTTAAAATGGCGCCAAAATATTCCCGGCGTCTTTATCGGTGTCTTTCAATAGTTGCACGACTATAATCAAGATGAATATTGGTATGTGTATGAAAAATGCAAGTTTTAAAGGTGTGTGTAAATGAGAGCGACAGCACAATCTTCAAATTTCATGTAAATTAATACATTGCCTGTGCTCTTTCTGGACCTTACCAGTACGTCGTGTTAACAGCTCTTTAAGGAATCGCCGTTCTTCTTTATTGAACCCTCTTACGCTGAGCACAGCCAGAAAGAGAACCACCACAAGTAGCTTCATCTTGTTGCAAGTCGACCTCACGATGGATCTTGTTATTTGTCAATGAGACGACTGAGTGCATTTCTTTTATAGATGGACTTTTTGTTTACACGCTCGCATCAGAGATTATGGTTTCAAAGGAACAAAAGAATATGCACTTCTATGTATTTGAACTTCGACGATCTTTGATCACCGCACCAATGGACCTAATCGGCTAACGGCTAACCTGTGGGAAAAAGAACTTTTGTTTCTAAGAATTCAACTGTGAAATGAAAATAAAACGAACAATGAAACTTACTCCCGGGTGATGGTTTGAATTGGGTTGAAGCCGATTGGATTGGTTGGTAATTCAAACCGACCAAATATAACCGACCAAATATAATTTGCTTGGGTGATTTAAATTGCGACATACTCCATCCTCTTGATAATGGTAAAGAAGGCAGAGCATGGTTAGATATATGTGACATTTATGATCTTGAAAATCTTATCAAAGAACCTACTAGAATTTGTCGCACCAAGGAAACATGTTTAGATATCATAGCCACGAATGTTCCAGGATTTGCATTACAATCAGGAACATTGATTACAGGCTTGAGCGATCACAAGATGAGTTACACTGTTACACTGTTCTCAATAATTGTCTTCAAGGCAGAGCACCTTCCTCTGTTAAAAGTCTATTTAAAGAAAGAAAAACCAGATATAACCTTAGAGGGAGTAATATATTTTCATTACCAAAAGTAAATAGCACTAAACATGGACTCAGATCTTTTCGTTATTATGCTGCAAATAAATGGAACAGCTTACCAGAGGACACAGTTGTGTAAAGAAGATAAGAGGACATATAGGGCCAGTGGCGGGACACTCCCTGTCCCTCCCCACCCCCTCCCCTTCCGTTTTCTCCCTCCCCCCTCCCCTAGAGCCGCCACGCAGGCTATGCATAGTGTATAAAGGCCTACAAGAAAAAGCATATCAGGCATAGGGAATATGTTTGTGTCTAAGCACTCCTTTAAAGTGATACGCAAAAACGATCAGACTGTCAATATCTATATATGTAGCTTTAAATGTCTCTTCCACACCAAACCGTTATATATAGTGCTATTTCTTTCCGGCATTTCGATGTTCATTTTTCTTCACTACTCGAAAGGCATAAGGCACAGGGATCCCGCGTGTATTAGTCGAATGATGTGAGGACGAGGTTCCCCGGAGCCTCATTTTCCAGTCAACCAGAATATCGAAAGTGAGCTATTAGAACAATTTATATTGTAGATAGAGGAAATTACATGGGCGCGCGTAGATACGGATTTTATCTTCGATTCAGTTCTGATATTCTGTTAGTATCATGTAAGACATGTAATTACATATGAAAGCAAATATGTTGTAAAACACATTTTTTAGAACTTCCACTATATAGAGAAACTAGTAAAAATATCAATTTACTAAATGGAGAAATGAGGTATTTCACTAGATATTATATGATAAAGTATTTTATTACAGTTCGTATTGAATTAGTCTCCTCGCAGCCGTTCTTAGTGGCGGGCTCCCTGGGGCGGGGGACAGGGAGCCCGCCACTAAGAACGGCTGCGAGGAGACTAGTATTGAATATGTAGCGGACGATGTATAGCACAATGTTAAATTTTACTTTATTACTAGTCTTTTTCTTTATTGTTTACATTGTTTTATTAAGCAAGCAGCAATAAAAGTATATAGCAATATAATCCACCAGCTTTATTACATAATTACAATATATACTATAGTTCATTATCCATTAGCCTTTCTCTAACATTTTCATTCGATTCCCATAAGATAACAGTTCAAAGTTCATAAAACGTTGCAAAGTCGCCCATATATCCATGATAAACTACAGTAGACCCATCTAGAGGCAGCGTATCAACTTCGCTTTCGTCTCTTCTGGGTTTCACTTCCTCAAAACCATCAATGTAACCAAACATACTTAAAGGCTTCTTTAGTGTTTGGCTCGATTTGTTAATGGCCGGTCTTTGGTCGTTTGTGGATTGTGTTTGATCAATCCTGAAAGWGAAAAATATACAAAATTTAGGATTAGGATTCTACAGCGATTAAARATCGAGCGCGCTATGTTGGGTTTCCTGTGTTTGGTAATTTTTGAATACATGTACATACCAAACATTGAACGACCTTTTGGCCGATGGGACTTTAAAAACCGGCATTTTAGCCATGCGTTGCTTTTTCCATCTAGTGAAAAAGATCATAATTAAGGACAGGATGAGACGAACGATTTATAAAGTCCCGACAAAGATGGAAAACTAGTTTGCGCGCGCGTTTACTAATTTGCTTGACAAGGTGTGCGTGCGCAAGCTTTATCATTTTTGCCCTCCCCAATCCCCTCGCTTTAAATGAGCAAAAACTAAATGAATCCCTCCGCTGCATTCATTTTCATAATTGCACATATAAACTAACATACTTTTTTACAACGCTGGTCAGACCAAAGAAACGTATTTGAGTTTTCATTTCTGATTTGCTTTACTGATTATCAAAAGTTTTCTGTTGAACGTTTGAATGTTCGTAAGCAAGTGAACGTAATCTCGCGCTGTTGGGTTTTTATACCCAATAAAAAGCGCGCGCTGTTTGCGCTTCCCACGGCCAATCACATTAAAGATGAAATGTCGTGGATTGCGGTGTCTAGAGTAAAAAATCCAGCTCGCGCAAAATATAAGCGCGCTCGGCATTCTGTGTGCTTCCTGTCAGACCAATCTCGAGCCCAGAGTGTTCACGGCAATGTCAGCGGTATGCTGACGCCCGAAAGACTCTCAGGGGGGAATCGACCATAGGCCACCTAACTATTTCTTGAGAGAAAGAAAAAAAAAGAAAAGAACGAATGAGCATGCTTTTATCGCATATTTTATCGCACGCGCTTTTTGGATTACCTGTGGTATTACGTCATGCATGATCCCTTTGGATTAAAAACTAGTCTGACAAGGTTTTGATCCTGCGGGATAAGGGATCATTGACGTAATACTTCATGTAACTCGCAATTTGCTAAGAGTGCCCGCAGATAACAGTACTTTAGCGTAATGAAGCGTGCGCATTCGTTGTTTTCTTTCTCTCAAGCAATAGTTACGTGGCATATGAATCGACTGGATTTGCGACGCTTTTCCGTCGCAAATTGTGCAAATGAGGTCAATTTTGTTTTCTGCTTTTAAGGCATTAAAATAACAAAAAGAAGAAAGTTTAGCACGCAGTTAAAACAAAAATGTGTGAAAACATGTGTGGTTGTGTGATAAAATTATGGTGTTTTGCTGCGCAAAAGACTGGTACGAATCAAGAAATAACGCATTCCCCCAGAGTCTCTCACGCATTGACATCCGCTGGATGGCAGAAGTGCGGCCTCTGGGTACGAGATTGTGTTTTTCTCTGGGTGCCTGTAATATATGTATACGTCCACTGCTATGTTGTCATAGAAACGCCATGTGACGTCATAGTGAGGATTTTCTAATAATCCTGGATACTCCCCTGACCACAGGCAGCCCAAGCTAAGCATTTAACTAGCAGATTATAGCAATATCTATAATGCATGTAAATACTAAATTTTTGAAAGAAAAAATAAGTAAAAAACATTTGTCTTACCTTATGATGTGGTCTTAGTTATGAATTAAGGCGTAATTTGCCGTTTTTCTTTGATATCTCCCCTCCTTTACTTATATCACTGATATCAAAGAAAAACGGCAAATTACGCCTTAATTCATAACTAAGACCACATCATAAGGTAAGACAAATGTTTTTTACTCATCTTTTCTTTCAAAAATTTAGTATTTACATGCATTATAGATATTGCTATAATCTGCTAGTTAAATGCTTAGCTTGGGCTGCCTGTGCCCTGACGTACTTTCATGACATCATTCTCAGTTCTTGGATTACACCGTCTTTGATGAGGGACTTTGAAAAGTGCTTGCAGTCCTATGTTTTAGGGATAGATAGTACAAATTTCACTCATACATTTTATTTCGTTCAATGTTTGCGATTCGATGTTTGTCAATGTAACAATCCCTTGATAGGTTTATTTCTCAAACTAGCATACAAAAATATAATGCAAATTTACTCTGCAATATTGCTTTACATGTGATTAACCCGTGACTCGATCACTATTTTTTACCCATGAATGACAAAAGGACTGCAGTATTTGGTAAAGATTTTCCACTGAATTTTCCCTTTGCAGCACTTTTTGAAACGCCTCGAATAAATGACAGCGCTGTTTCCTTTCCTGCAACAGCCATGGGTGCAAGGATCGTACCGTTTCCCGCCACAACGGTGCTTCATGATAACCTTCTTTTGGCAACACGCATGTGTCTTGCGAACATACAGCTGACCATTGCAGCAGCCACTTTTCAAGATGTTATACAAACCACATTTGAACCATTTCTTTTCTGCAAACCAAAAAACAATTTTATTATAACAATAGCTATGTTCAGACTTAACTGATTCCAGCGGTAATAGGACGGAATTAGTTTTACTTCGCAATCAGTAGAGGCTAAACCGATCCCTGGAGCCGCACAATGAACTCTAAAAGGCACGAAAGTTTTGTCTAGTTAGTGGCTGTCTTGGCATTGCTTTTGTCGCCCGTTCAATTAAATTTGACAAATCAAAAACCTAAAGTAGTACGTTAAAAATTAATTAGGTCCGCTTTTTTATCGCTTCATAGTTGATGAAGAAATCGCTCATTCCATTATTACCTAGTAGTCAAAATCAGCTCCAACTGAAATCAAATACGCCTCGACCACAAGAGAATCTCCCTCACCCTCCCATGTATAGCTTGACTATAGTCAATGACATATGAATTGTGATTCTATAATTATATAGGAATAATTGATTGATATTTACCCAATGCACTGTAAGTTTTGGCATCTTTCAATTCATTTTGCCTGTTGTCCAGTGCTTGTGCAATAGCCACGCACGCAACAGCCAAGAAAACAAGAGAACGTCGCATGATTGTTTCAACTGAAAATAGGAAGTCAGCACGTCTGGTTGGCTGACTTTGGATAGTTATTTTATTGGAGATTCATTTTATGGAGATTGCTATTGCAAAAGTGAAATACACACACGGGAAGCTTGCATTTCCTGAGTTGTCTGAGTATCGTGAAGTGTATGCTGTTGCTGCTGCTGTTATTTGTTTGTTAATTTTCATTTTCATTTTCAGTGTACTAGGATATATTTACAGTTTAATTGTTCAATTTACTCAATTCCTTTCTCTAGATAGAGACGAACATTGCAGCTATACTTTTTCTTTTTTATACTTTATCTATAATTTTTTGAATAGTATAATGGGTGTTTACCCATGACCCCTAATAAAGAGATGATACTCAAGAACGTGCAGAGTAGCGAAAGTTTTGTCTAAGTCAGCATTTGTAACTTGCTTTTGTCTATAGACTATATATATTGGTCATGGTATGTCAAGGAAAACATCGTATCTTGATCAACATTGAATCTACATTTTTTCATGAAGATTCATTCTTTTCCCTTTTTCGCTCTCTCTTTTTTTTCTTTTTTTCTTTTTTTTTTCACCACACTACATTTCAATTTTTCATTGCTTTTTTGAGTCACTACAGACTCAAAGCATTTTTGATATAACAATATTTTCTGTTTTACAGATCATAGGAAACCATTCTTTTATTTTTAATTGTCATTTCCAACACGTCTTTCAATCGTGCAACTTTTCCTGTGTGGAAGTTTGGACATACACTGTAGCGTCTGTTTTCCAAGAAACACTTAAAACTGTCCTCTTGATCTTTCTCTTCTTCTTGTTGTTCTCTTGAATCGTTTATGCCATCATGGTCTAGTGCATTAGCGATGTGGTGGATGTTTTGCTGGTGTTTATTGGAAGAATGAGGACTGTTTGTTGTCAAACTGCTCGAAGTGACGTCTGTAGGGATTGAATGCTAAGTGAAAAAAAAAAAAAAAAGTGTTATAGTTTTATCAACAAACTCATTGGCTTATGTTAATGTGCAAACCATGATCAGAATGATTTTCACAAGTCACTTTGTTCTAACAGTCAATCGTCTTCTGGTTGGCACATGAATAACAAAGGCTTACGTCACATTGAGTGTCGCTATACTATAGAAGTGATAATGTTATTCATCATCAGTGTACCATCACATTCATCACCCTGTCATGTATATTATTAAGTAGTATAGTGTCATTTAGCAAGTTTTCAATAATCTTCTGTGTCTTACTTTAACGAAGTGTGATTCAATACGAGGGTTAAAGTACGTCACTAACGCTGCCACACTTGACTCCATATGAAAGAAATACTTGCATTTGGCCATAAGAAGAATATCTACAAGAACCTCAGATCCAAGCTTGTATGCATCGAAACCAGATGCATGTACAGGCAAACCATCATATGCTTTGGCCCGAAACGCTTTGGTGTAAACAACCTTTTTTGATAAAGTGGAATGACTTTAGTTACCTGAGGGGGAGAGAGGTGGGGAGGGTGTTCGTCTCATTTCATAGCTGTTGGGAAGAATTCTTTGTTTTTCATCAACACTTGAAAAAATTCTTTAAAAACTCATACATAATTAACGAGCTACTAGGCCAATAGAATGAGCCTGTTTGGTCACATGCATGGACCTTTATATCTGATATTAGTATTCTTTATATAAAGAATACTAATAAGGGTGACCTTTATCAGATATAAAGGTCCATGACCCTAGCAAAGGTCTCAGGTTTGAAACCTGAACATTGACCAATGCAGGATTTCAATCGATTTCAATGAACAGCCAAGAGCTATTCTATTTTACTTTATGCGTATTCAATGTGGGATGACAAGAGTGCTTTGTAAAGTGATTCGCGCATGATCAGTTTGCCCCATTTATCTCAGAACATATTTGTACGTCAATTTCTCCAAGACCTTTAATGGATTTGAGTTCCAAATTAGTGTTGGAGTTTTTGAAGCCGTTTAAAAGACTCGAGATCGTGTTTTATCAGGCTTCGGCTCGAATCTTTATACCTGATAAAACACTCTCTCTCGTGATTTAAACCATACATGGATATGGATGACGAAAGCTTCTCCCGAAGCTTCTACCTCCAAAAGTTCTGAAAATGGGATAGTAGATATATTGTCTATTTCGAGGAGGCCATTGACCTTATGAACTAAATGTAGGACGATATCAATCATTTGATATACCGCATTATGACATAGAACTTGTTCTCGAACTATACTCTTTTCGATCTCCATAAAGACTCTGCTCGCAGGACATAGTGTGTTCAGCGCAGATGTTATCATGAAAATTGCACTGGAATAACAACCTTCGCGAAGGTCCGTTTTAAAGAAGCGTGTTGGTAATCTCACATAAACTTGTTAAAGGGACATGGTCCACAAGCATTCAATGCGATCGCCGGGTGTTTTAGATTGTTCATATATGGAAAATGCAGGTATGACAATCCGTTTCCATCCATCGGTTTAAAGGTCGAATCTTACAGTATCTTTATCAAAATTTAGAAAGTGATGCTGGAGGACCATGTCCTTTTAAGTACACAAAACTCGACAAAACTCCTGTGCCTTTTTCATTCTCATTTGTTTTTGACACACGTGGTTTTCGTCGTAAATATACGAAGCAAAGTAATGAGAAATATCATTATTTACCTTGTCTTCAAATTCTTGAACAAAGGTTTCGATGGTTTCTGAATTGTCAGTTGCAACAAATATTCTGTTAACTTTTGATTTGTAAAGGAGAAAGTCTTTAATGTTCTGGATGTATGAGCTGAGAGGAGCTAGCTGCCCGTTGCCTGTTTCTAGTCGATGGTCTGTTCCTCTTACATGGACAGCAACAGCATGAAACTTGGCCAAGTATCTGGAGTAAAATTGTTCAACTGCGGTTTGAATCTTTGGCAGTATTTTGACATACTTTTCAATCAGTTTGTTGGTTTTTATTTGGACATCACGAGTAATAATTCCTGTTTCTTCGTACCCTATAGAAAGTTTTGGTCGAAAAGTTAGGTTAATTAAATCTTCCATAGGTTTTGTTTTGTCAAGATTTTTAATCCCTAACACAGATGGGCCGGATTGACCTCCAAAACAAAAGACTGTCTTTGCTTTTTGTTCGATTTTCGGATTGACAGGCTCGAAAAACATTTCCCATGCGTTTACTGTAGGATCGCTTGGACAGATCGATTCGCACTGTCGCCAGAAGATTGTCGGTACAGCTCCGAGGTTCTCGCATAAATTAATGTGATCAAGAGTTTGAAGGAGAATTCCTCCTAAACCTGCATTTGGGCATTCCGAAATGAATATTTCTGAAGCGCAAACAAAATCCACCGTCGCTAAATCATCTCTGCTGAAGTTGTTAACTCTAATGGCCATCATTTGGTCCATGTTGTCGTGGTTTTTGAACGTTTCCATGTCATTGATGTATATTTGTTCAGTGTTTTGCTGGTAGGTCGTCTCATGAATAAAGTCTTGATGCGATGTAAAGAAATAAAGCAAACAGTACACGACAAAAGACAGAATAATCAACATGAATACCAATAACCGAGGTCTGCTCATTATAATTAAAAACGAGCAATACTGCTTGAAACAATTGCTGTAAACGAGCAACGTGACGTGTATGTTCAATAATGAAAGTTAAAAACCCACGAGTTTTTTGATGGGTCCTTTGAATTAGCGGCTTTTTTTATCTAAACTCTAATACGCACGCTCTTTGCGAAGAATTGTCATGTAACGGTAACGATGGCGGTCCACAGCAATCTGAAAAATATAGGCAATTATGTTATATAGTGGAGCAACGATGAAATTCTTTACTGAAATGGCAAATTAAGAGCCGCTTCGCACAAAAATCAGACAAATCTTGGCAAGGCTCGAAAAATCAAATCTATTATTATTTGTTTATTGATAAGGTATGATTAGGTAACAATCGCTGTGTAATTGGTTTTTGAAAATATTTCATTTTTCGCAAGAAAATAGATTTGATTTTTCGAGCCTTGCCAAAAGTTTTCAAGTTTTTTTCTGGTTTTTGTGCGAAGCGGCTCTTAAATTGCATAAAATTCTGGCTACAGACTGCACATGTACTTCATGAAAGGCGTGATACACTATACTATACACACACTGCCCTTATCCAAATAAATCAAACGAGGAATCCCATTCATATCCCACCTCCATGGTATCGGCTATCAAATTCATTAGGATGTCGCTTATTCTGGACCACCGTATAAACGTGATATAGCCCGGCGACTAAGCGACGTTTTATTCATAGTTTTTGTGTTAATTTTGGTAAACTGTCAGCGTTAGTTGACATGAACTTCCTCATACTACGGGTCAGTCGTACGTAATAGATAGCTATTGCATAAAATGATATTTCAATTTTGACAAAGACTCCCCTGTCGAAGTTAATCAAAATCTTACTTATTCTAACTTTAAAATGGGATTTCATATACTTGTAGTACATTCAACAAAATAACACTTTTTCATTGACCGAGAGGAGTGTTATGAGGCAACGTTTTTGAATTTATATTTTATTTCTAGTAAGTTCTATAGTAGGTTCTAGAATGTTCTAGTGAGCTAGTCATCTGGTTATCATTCATAATACCATGATCACCTAGGATTCCATTGTCTTCCGAGGGGTTTACAAACCCGAATTTCCCTCATGAATAACATGAGTGAAATTTAGAAGATAAAGGATTCTTTTGTCTTTTACAAAATTTCTCTCTATTTAATTTATGCAAGGGAAAATTAGTAAAAGACAAAAAATTTCTCTTGCATAAATTAAATTGAGGGAAATTAGTAAAACACAAAAGAATCCTTTGTCTTCTAAATTTCCCTTGTTATTCATGAGGAAAATTCGAGTTCCTTTGCCTCCTATACTTCCCTAATGCAGGGTTCAATCTCCTGAAAACAAGTCTCCTACACCATCGGGCACTAGCATGTCTTGCATGTGGGATATTGTTTACCTAACTGCGCATGCCTGTGCACTTAGTTAAAAAAACGTAAATGCCTATGACAGATTTATGCGCAGTCACATAAAAAAATCACTTGTTTAAAATCATAATTGTTATAGCAACACATTGCATGCACTTACGCTTTTTCCAACTCGAAATGAAGCATCGAAAGAAATAGCGTTTAACTTACTGCAACAAACTGATATAATCGCTCTTATTTATTGAACTTCGTTGTCTGTTCTAAACGAAAATCTCTCAGCAATGTTGTTTGAGCATTGTATACGAATTTTTTAATTAAAATTCTGTGATATAAATATTATCTTTGGTACCCTAAGGGACTACAAAACAAGTGTATGAAATAGTAGTAACGAACCAATGTTGAATCAATTACACAATAGAAGACAAAGTAACGTATTTGAAAACTATTGTTTGATTACATTATTATCGCAAGTTAAGTCTAGGCGTACAACACGCTAATGAGATAGTAGTGCATTTTGGCGTTGTTTACGCTTCCTTGATTAGAAAACTGAACATGATATCAAAGATGTTTCCTTACTTCCTCGCCGATCATAGTTTTACAAAGTATACCATGTCATTCGCTGCGCCCTCGGGACTTCCACAAATTTTCACCCGGTTTCGGGGAAATTTAATCACTAATTTCCCTCGTTCCATGGTATTACTTATAAATACTACCTGTGCCTTGCATTAGTAAAACAAATACCTCTTTTTGAAATAATCATGATTAGACGAGTGAAGGTATCCTTTAGCAGCATGATTGTGATCAGAAAAAGAATGTATACAAATGTAGCCAAGGCTGCTGCTATGATGTTGAAAATGTATATCGTGAATCCGAGCTTTCGCTGTACTACAGCATCATCAGGTAATGACAAGAAGAATAATATCCTTGACTAATAGGAGCTGGGCGATCAGGCGTTACGGTGAACGACCAATAGGCAGAGAAGAGATTAAGTCAAAATAACAAGTCTTGTAATTCTCGGCATTCCTCGCGTGAGTTTATAGTGCATGATAGTGGGCTTGAGTGACTTTATGAATAATGCCTCTAAAAGGCGTAAATTGACGGGGTCTCCGTCGCGTGCGATAACACGTGTCTTAATTTGCTTGTGGTATTCGAGCAAGATCTTAAATGCGATGCGACTGAGGATTTGGATGATGATAGGTGTTCTTTGACTCTGTCATGAAGATGTCTTATAATTTTATTATCTTATAGGTTTTCCACACTAAGAGTTTGAACTCTAGCTATCTTTAAACACTAGTTGCGATTTGTGACTATCTTAGGTTTCATTTGACAGTTCTTTTCTTTTCAGAATCCGATAAGAACCTAGATTGACAACATAATGAGATTACAAGGCACTTTGTTTATTTCGATAGTAAACAGGTAAATAAAAACTGGATTTCCCATCTAATTTTGTAGGATGCTTACACGCAACTTGCATCATTGCAATGTTACCCTAAGATCAGCTAGACCCTCCTACGAAAGTGTACACCTCTCCGTGGGGGGGGGGGGGGGACTCCCTAATAACAAAGGGCGGGGGTCCTCGTCGTCCCTTTTAGGGTTTGAAATCACTGTTTTGGTCCCGCGTAGGGTGATAGTAGTGACGAGAATTCCCATCAACTGAGTTTTGTGGTCTCTTTTAGGGTATACGACGACCCTAAGCCGTCACTATAAGATCAACAACAACCACAAGGTCGTCATAAACTCAATATGAGCCGACGGCGTTGATGCTTGTTCAAAAACACAAATAAAATTGGGAAACCAAAACAAAATGCATGACCTGTTATTGATTGGTCCCCCTTAGGGGTGAAATTTCAGCACTGCCACGCCTATCATCTCACAATACAGGTCCCTTTTAGGGGTCATTTTCAGAATTTCCGACCAGGATTCCCGCCCTTTATTATTAGGGAGTCTCCCCCGGGCGATGCCCTATCGCCCATCGCTAGTTTAAAGACTTGTATAGCTTCATTATTTCAAACATCTATTCAACATAACTTTATAGAAAGTCAGTTCTCCATTAGAGCTATCTTCTGTCTTAATTTTATCATTGAATTCAACTTAGAACTATCTCGGGGCATAGCATTTTTGCCCCTGCCTCAGTTGAACATATCATTAGTAAACTCCAAAGGGTTGCTTAGCCAGTCATATTACAAAAATCGGGCTCGTGCAATTACGAAGAAATGTCAAAACATTACTCGTGACTATTGATTTCAAATTCATACTTAAGGTAGTGCGATTTCTTATACAAATAAAATATAAAATAACTATAATCATTCAACGATAAAGATTCGAAGAACCGGCTGTTTGACTATCTTTCTGAATATTGCCGGTCATTATAATATTATAAATATCACTATAGCTTGTAAATTGAGATGAACTGCTACATTGCAGATCCAGGGGGAAGGGGGGGAGTGACTGGACAAGCCCTTTTTTCGGACAGGAACCCATAAATACTTAGTAACTGTAGTAATTAACTCCTGTTTCGAATTATAAAAAAATGAAAACATCAAAACTTATGATATAAATAAACAAAATAAGAAATTAAATCCGAATGGGTCTCATTCTGAAAACAACTAAAGTGGCATTCATCTGAAAGGGATTTCCACATCCTGATCAAGGCACTAGCAATTTTGGGTATCCTGTGTCTCCTGCCTAGCCACAATGCATTGCGTTCTGCAGACCTGCGCGCGAAAATACAAGAACAAAATGTCCGACGTCTTCTCGAATCAAGATAGGAATTTTCACTGTCAGAGGCTTCATTCTTGGCACGATTAGGAAGAGATACCTGACATTTGCTATGATCTTCAGTGCTGCTTACTTTGAGTCATTTGTAATTCACGAATATCTACGTTTTCACTCGAAATTTTAGCAACGTTGTGACGGGATTTTCTTCAACACGCATATTGAGTTGCTTTGTAACATCCTCTCCTTATTCTCCTGTTTGTTATGGCAATATATTGTTTTTAGTTGAGATTTTCACTATTTTATGTGAACTCTATCAATGTCTTGACGGTGGATAACATGGGTAAAAGAAGAGGTGCTCGAAAGGTTTCTTCGGCGAGGAAGCCCGCTGACAGCGAGAGGTTCGTCACAGTACAAAAATAGACTGATGCTTTGATTTTCAGAATAACCCAAATCGATGTCAATCAAAATAAGCTTATTCCAAGTTGGTATAAGCTTATGTTAGATATTTAGATATTGATTATTGTCGTAAATACAGGCCAATAATAATATGTCTTCCCTTCATTGGGTGCTGTGTTATTGTACATGTACTTATTACTACAAGGGCATCCTTTTTTTAATTCACAATTAAAAACATGAAGTGATGGATGTAAATATAAAATGATTTATGTTTTAAAATGATTTATGTTTTGCTATTTTTATAGATTAACAGATAATAATAATGAGCAATCAGGATCCTCACCAGTTGATTGGCTGTCTTCAATACATAGCCATAATGGAAGTCCTAAAGAAAGTCATAATATGCCAAACCTAGAAGTCAAATTAAAAAAGTTGGATTCAAATGATTTGCTTGACTCTAAATATTTCCAGCCTACAGAAGATTCTAACTACCACAATGATAACTCACCAACCAACTCTGGATTAAAAACATCTAGTTTTTATGGAAGCAAAATGCCATCCTTTCAGTTAGCATTAAGAAAGACGCCCTATGTTGTTACAGAACAACTAGTGCAAAAGGATTTGATTAAGAAAAATGGACAACATAAAACAAAGAGTACGAAAAGGAAACATCCAAGTCCAAAGAATTCTAAAAACTGTGTAGCAAAGAGAGCTAAAAGAGACAATTCATCTAACAAAAAGGATAAAAATGCTTCATCCCACTATAATAWTTCTTGTAATGGTTATATTAATAAGAGTGAATCTGAAAGTAATGTCAATGAAAAATGTGAAGATACAATACTTGACATAATCACACCGGATTCATCYCCATCTGATACTGACAATGTTTCTATTCACACCTCAAATGGAACAGATATGGAATTAAGTGAAAACTCATCTCTAAAAGAAGGAGATCATGAGATTAACCCAAAAGCACAAGATGTATTTTCTGATCTTGGATCATTACATTCAGAAGACAGTCTTKTAAGTGGTCATGGCTCTTTAAGGTCTAGTAGACTCATCAAGGGTGATAATGGAGAATACTATTTTTCAAATTCTAATGAAAGTTCACCAGACCTGACAAAAAATGGACCATCAATGGTTTTTCACACTCCCATAAGTAGCAGAGGCTCACCAGAATCTGAATCCAGTTCATTAGGAAGCAAAGAGAAAGSMATATTTTTGTTTGGGAAGGATTCTGATGGTAGTAGCTATAGTCCTAGTTGTAATTCAAGCAAATCTCCATCACCAGAACATCAAACATCAATAACTAGCTTTTTTAAGAGTACTTCCAAAGAAGGAAATAGCGTTGGCTCAAAGTCCAAGAAAGTTGAAAGGTAAACACAGGATAAAAAAGCTAAAATACCTTCATACTGATACTAAGGTATAATTTCTGTCAAGCAGTCTTCTTGCATTGGTGTTGACTTGAAATTCACACTGATAAATGACCAAATAAATCTTGAAAMCATTCAAATAAAGAACCAGTCTAATTTCTTATGCTAAAGTGGTTCTTGTTTAACAGGTGAAAATTTTAGACTAGACGCCACTTGTTCTTTTATGCTAGATATAAGGTCTGAATGTTATAGTGTGATATTAACATTTCTCAGACTGCTTGATATTTATTATATTAAGAAAATGAACTCATAAACAGTCAGGATTTGTRAAGTCTTGAAAAGTCCTTGATTTTTGAGCTAGGTCCTTGATAAGTCCTTGATTGCAAATTTTGCTTGAAAAGTCCTTGAATTTGGAGGAAAGGTCCTTGAAAATGATAATTTAGTCMTTGAATCAGTCTTGATTGTTATAAAGTAATGTATTATGGATCAATTTAGCCAAGCATTGAAGCAAATGACAAGAATTCAATACTTTTTGCGATACCTGTTGTACTATTGTGCAATATGGCAGCAAGAAATTAATAGAGATTTTCCAAAAAATCGACTTTTTGCCAACAAAGTTGACTGTAATGTTCTTATTGTTGTGCTTGCTCAGACACAAGTTTAGTAAGTTTAATAACTGTATTTTGCTATTTGTAATTGGTGTTGAAAATTGAAAATTAATTCCTTTAAAAGTTCTTGAAAAGTCTTTGAATTTTGAATGAAAGAATCTGCACGAACCCTGACAGAGAAAAAACATAATTTAATGTAAATTATAATAACATAGAATATGTTTTTAAGTGTACAAACATTTTTAAATGAACAAAACTAAGTCTTGATATGCATAGCATTCTGTGGTCTTTTCTTTGTATTAAACTATGCTTATTTGAACAAGGTCTAAAAGGTCAAAGAAGATGGAACAGATGTATTTGGTAAGTCGCCCTTCATGTCAATGAGAGTTGCATTAATACATAATTTTTTATGGTATATGTAATAATGGAATTCCCTTGAATTTCAATGAGGTAAATTTACTGTAGATAAGAGAAAATGGTGTATACCATGGAGTCTATTTTTCATGGAATGACACAGGGTCCCCGCACATTGTCCATCTGTTTGTTCATTCATCCAGTGTGAAAAAAATCTGCGAGAGGGGATAAGATGATGATCTAGTGACATTTTGTTTCACTAGTAGAGTTTTACTGTTTACCAATCAAGACCTTACTATTTAATCTTCACCTTGACCTTTCTAGAAGTTATTTTCATCCAAAAGAAAACATGTCACTAAGAGCTTCTGTGAAGAGAGAAATTGGTTTTGAAGTGTATTTTCTGAGTTATAGACATTTGAAAATTGAAAATGAAGGTTGACATCAACTTAGAGGGCTAGACTTATTCATTGTTTATGTTAACTTGTCTCAGTGGAAGAAAAGTGACCAAATCATTAAGCATACTATATAATATTGGAGAACTGAGAATATTATTCCCATGTAATAATTATTCCCATTATTTTCAATTTGAAACTATTTCTTGGTTGATGTTACTTCATTTTTCATTGTCCCTTCAATTTTTAAATGTTTAGGATCAGAAAATATAAATGCAATTCAATTTTTCTTTGCAGAAGTGTTTAGCAGCATTTGACATTAACATGTAGATATATAAAAATGATATTCTAAAAAAAGGTCAGACCGCCTAGAAATATTTTGGGAATGTGTACTTGAAACCTGACTTTAGATGACAAATAAGAAGACATGATGAAAAACATAAATGGACAAACTTTGTGTTTATTCTAAACAACGAAATTGTACTATTTGTGAGCTTTTACAGGCCGTTTTTTGGTGATAAACTATTTTTATTTATTTGTAATGTTGAAGTTTTGATTAAATTTGCACATGAAAATGCACTTGATGACGGTTAATCTCGCTTCTGATTGGTTAATGAACAATAAACATTCCAGAAATATTTCTAGGCACCAACGGTTTTTTCGATTTGCACTGTAATAATATACAAATATATTTAGGACCTGGGGCAAAGGAATTTTGGACATGTAACATGTACAACCTGTGGTATGGTRTACACCCACGCACAACCAGATGATGAAGTTGAACATATTCGTCATCACAAGAAATTTGTCAATGGTCTGAGATTTAATGTAAGTTTAGCAAACATCTTTTCATTATCAATAGTTTGGACCACACAGTAGTCTTGATTTGTTATTTTAACAACACTAAYAACATAAATGCTGAATTGAAATAGYCTGACTATTCTTYRTATTCTCATTRCCGTAGTAACCTTTGTACAGATGATTTGTGACAACCCATTGCATGCATCSTCATTTCTGGAGTAGAGCCCTGACTACAATGTAATGCTATTTTCCTGTATGTAACTTGTCAATCAAATATTTTGTAGGGGTGGAAGGATGAGCATGTTGTTAAGGAGTTCAGTGATGGTAGGATTATTATGATCAAACCAGATGATCATCCATCACATCAAAAAAAGGTACTAGCAGTAAACTAGTGTGAGCTGTGTTGGTGTTTCTAAAGAAACAGTTGTGTGAAAAGATAAATTTAACACTGTAAAAAAAAGTAGGTGAAATAACTTACTGACGTTTCGGACGTTAGTCCTTCATCCAAGTAAAGAAAGGTTTGTTATGTARCTGAACAGCATTAAATACACATGTACAGAGGGCAGTGAAGTGGGAGGATAAAGAATATACTCTTTATTGTATGTAGATCTTTGAAAGAATAATGCAATGTTGCAAAACGTTATTTCACACTTTTAATGTCTGTATTGTATGTCAGTAGTTTGTGGGGTTTGTGCCCTCCTTGAAATCCTTAAAACCAAAAACTCATCATGACAAAAAGAAAATAACTAAAATTCTTGGAATTTGCTAAACTTCAATCAGATTCCATCTACTGGCTGTTCGTTAACTTTTTAATTTCAACAAGACCATTATAAAAAAACAATGACAGCTAAAATCAAACCTTCAAAAGTCCTGGAATTTGTCATGAAGGTGTAGTACAACACAAGTTTAGTAATTGAATTTTCTGCTTGTACATAAATGGATGAATTTGAATGTTAATATGAATATGGACTGTACACAATTCCTTCTCAGACTGAGAGCATTATATGACATTATTCTGTATCATTGAACAGGCTGAAGAGATAAGGAAGGTAGTTGACAGTGAGCTAGGATTTGCTGTTGACTTGCCCTACAGAAAAAATGAATCTAAGGTATGAAAATGACWGATTTGTACAATTTTGATAGGAAATTGTTTTGCTGAACTCTGTTCTTTTGTTTTAGACATTTCTATTTATTGCTAATAAGCGTGTAGTTGGTTGTTGCGTAGCAACACAGATTGACAAGGTAAGCAAACACAGTATTGTTGTATACATGTTATTTGTCCTAGGACAGTATTAATTAATCTTATTGGGCTACTCCTACATGGAGAGCATTTAAAAGCTATTTCATCACCAATTTAAAGCTGTTCATATATAATATGATTTGATATTTTGAMTTGAGGTTAATGAGATTTCTGAGCTTTCTGGTCATTGAATGTACATCAGAAGATCTTTTGGTTTGCATATTGACAGCTAAGATAGTTTGATGTGTAAGTGTTTAGAATGATAACCAATGATTCAACTAACGTTAATGATAGGGTTATCCAGTACTTCCAAGTACACCAAATAAAGACTCCACTCCAGATCGTCAGATTGCAGCCTGGTGCTGTAGGTAGGTACATCATGTACTTTACTAGAACTTAGATATACTGTAATATCAAAAGAATGGTGTCGTAAACCATTCCATATCTTGTTCATATTGTCTTTATTACNGTGTTCAAGAGCCATATGTAGCGAAGTACATCATGCTATTCATTCGTCATTATATATGATAGAGGGTCATTATTTAGTGTTGGACAAAATGTCATTTGCACCCTAACAGCTGTAATAACAGTGATTTTATTGCTTTAGCACTGTACCTGTGCCTGCACAGTGTGGTATTAGTAAGATTTGGGTCTGGAATCAGTACAGAAGGAAAAAAGTAGCAACAAGACTTATAGAATGTGTCAGGTTAGTTCAAACTCGATTAGAGTGAGGAACATGATGATGATGCTTCATTCACAGAAGAGTCTGTAATGTCAGTTGTTCTTTACAAAGAAAATGAATGAAAAATGAATGAATGAAAAACTGAACGAGTGCTATTTTTTTTGGCCATTTGCAGATTTCATATGAGTTTTTCATATTGAGTTATTTTTTATTTGTACATATTGGAAAAGTCAGTTGCTATTTGAGATGTCAGTTGTCTGTTCAAAAAAGGATTGTTTGTCAGAAGGCATTTTTGGCCATTTATCTGTGTTTGACCAAGAAATACAAATAGTTTTAGTGCATGTGTCCAACCAAACTATGGTACAAACATAAAACTTTTTTTTTGGTCAATTTGACCATTAGGGTCTAACATGATCTAGTATCCACCAAACTATGGACAATTTAAATTGGCTACTAAACTATGGAACATGGTCGTATTGAATGAAGCGAAAATAGTCGAAAAAAGTTGAGGAAAAGTTTTCTTTATGTTCTTTTTTTTAATTTTCCTTATATGATGGATAATAATAAAATTAGACCACTTGGTCTCCATAACATCAAGTTAATAGTCCATTCAGCCGAGTACTGCTCATAAACTATTAACTTGTAGTCCACTCGACCTCATGTGTTGGATGGATACTAATCAGTGTTATTATCATACTTTTAAAAATGGCAACCGTTTTGTTTCTTCTAGAACTCATTTCATTTATGGATGTGTGATTTCAAAGGATGTTCTAGCATTTTCCGACCCCACCCCTGATGGTAAAAGACTTGCTACTGCCTACGTTGGTACTCCGGAATTTTTAGTATTTCACTAACAACTACAAAGATTTTTATCAGATTACCATAATTATATATTTTTGTATATTGTATTTTTATCAGATTACCATAATTATATATTTTTGTATATTGTATTTTTATTTTACATACCTTTGTTGTATTGGGAATTTATAGCATTTTAGATTTGTGTTTGATAACATCTCGTGTAAAGATTTCTCATTATCAACAATAAACATTTCATTTATTGGAAATTGATTAACAGGCCCATGAAACTAATTTGTTTTAAAGAATAAGCCCAAGAAATAGACCCCTTGCAGTTCATGGGAATGCAGCTCCAACTGGAGGACAAAACAATAGATTCTAGTTCCCAAGAGGATAAAAATCTTTTGTTTTGTCCTCCAGATGAAGCTGCTTTGACGTCACATGCAAGGGGTCTATAGTTACAGTGGAAATGATATTCACTCRTGATCATCACTCCATATCGTTATTTTGAATTTCCCGCCAGTTCGGAAAAATGCGCTCTCTTTGAAATCAGGGACCTGGTTGCGAATGTTATGTCTACTAAGGAATCATCGTCAATCTCTCACAATTCCGGAGACTTTCAAAGTAAATGGTGGAGATTCGAAGGTATTTATTCCTGTTATAAACGTCTTTGAATTATAAAGGGAATCGACTTGGATAACTTCACTACTGACATCATGTCTTCGTCTTTAATTAACACCAATTACATAATGTTCATTGGTATATTACACGCTCTTGGATTGGCCGGGAACCGTCGGTCTGAATGGACGGACTGGGGCTAGGATTTACAAATACAACAATAATAGAAACTGGGATGGAGACCTAATCAGGCTAACGCGTTGCAATGCACGTTACCACCCAATTCAAATCCTGTGGGAAAAAGAACTTTTTCAAGAACTCAACTGTGAAATGAAAATACAACAAACAATGAAACCTACCCCCGGGTGGTTTGAATTGGGTAGAAGCATTTTTAGCAACGCGTTAGCCGATTAGGTCCATTATGATCTTCATTGGGGATCTGGTCCAAAAATAAAATGGGATTTGTGTCATGCTTGGAGTGTTTGTCATCATCGTAATTTAATTGATTAAGTGTTTTTATAGTCCTTGCTTAGAACTTATTGCATTACATTTCGCTTGTCATAGATTCAACCAATCATATACTTTGCCTATTGTATTAGAGAT